GCATTTTGTAAAAACTCATATAATATATATATATATCCTTAATTGGTAATCTAAAAATGAAAAAAATAGAAATGTATCAAATATATAGTGTGAGTGTGTTCAAGTACTATTATGCAAGCACTTAAAGAAGAAGAAACGAAAGGAAATGAGGTTGATTTACATGATTCTAAAATGATTTTAAAATAAACTTGAGCAATTTTGCTCATTCTTCTGTGTACAATCAAAAAGTATTAAAAAAGTACAGAACTCTAAGGTAAATTAAAAAAGGGGTAAGTCCATAAAAACTGACAAAATAAAACGTTTGACTTTATCAACCAACGGAACGAATTAAAAACAACTGTCATATCATTCCTGTCTTGGTACAGGCATTTATGGATAAGACATAATAATATACACATGTGTATATCATAGATGCAGAAAAATGTCTATCAACACACAGAATAAAGTTGACATCTATCTATATAGCATACACATTTATTTTTTTACTTTCAACACCCTAATCTGTTCAATGAATGATTTTAAAGTAAGTTGTGTATAGATATAGGAAGATGTGGTATGAGTGCCAATGAGACAACTCTCCATCCAAGTTACAATTTATAAATGGAAACCATTATTGCCTTTAAATAGGATCGTAAGTGACATTTCAACAAACGAAAAGTCGATGAAATATGACAAGACAGGTTCTGAAGAGATATTGGCTCACATGAATGGACACTATACTGCCACCATGTATCTTATTCAATAACCACGAAATAAGGATTGTTTAGAGAGGATCTCCAAACAATCACCACTGCTGATGCCACACTGGGTATATAATTTGCTATTGAGTGTTAGGGCTCTTTATATACCAACAAACGTCGTTATTTAATAATAAAGTATTTGAGGCAGATAAGTACCATCTGTTTTTTTCTGAATTGTTATCATTTGTACAAGAAGTTTTTTTTTATTTTAATAATAATTTTTGTTAATACTAAAAAATGTTTGGGAGTTATATTGTGCAAGATGTGTTTTTACCTTTCATAATACTTTTGGTTTACCCTAAAATTTGTAGGTACTCATATGTATACATTGGATTTTAAATGATATAACAATCTGTTTGAAAATATTATGAAATTTTATGGGCTTTGTCACATCCTTCTTTTGATTCATTTTTTGTTTCATTTATGCAAATATTCTGCACCAAACATGCTTTTAGTAGATACAGTTGTTTCAATCAAGCTTCTGATTTTCTTCCAGTGTGATAATGAAGGTAAAGTTGTATTCCAAAACAGCACCCCTTGAGTATAGAAAACTCTAGGATAAGCTACGCCCGTTTGGAGTTAAGAGTTTCTCATTTGAAAAAAAAAACAACATTTCTCTACTTTGTAAAATATACAATACCACAAAATCTAGTCAAAATGAATTTTCTTAAAATTATCTGTGATCCATTAAAAACAAAACCCTGCCAAACAAACATGTTCACATTATAATCACTCCATACACCAAATATTATAGTTGACTTATTGTATTGCTTATAGTATCTGAGAAACAAACTTAATGTTCATGGTCAAGGTATATTAAATGGGCTATTTCACAGATTTTGGTAAAATTTTGCATACAACTTTGGCTCGTTGAACTGTATGAAATTCAGACAAAAAGATGCATTTATCTCTTATATTTTCTAAAATATTACTGTTTGAATTCTTTCAACATAAGTGAACATTTGTATAAAAAGCACATAAAATTGGAGAAAAGCATTTTTCTTTTTAAATTATCATATCTCCAATTTCAAATCCATAAAATTATGTTGTTGATGCATTACATTTCTATTTTAATGATGACATAACCAAATGGTCACGGACTTTGTTTTTAGCATGTTATGTTATCTCTTGTTGATATTAACCCACAGCTGTGGGCCAATATCTAGCAGAGAATTCCACTCAAACCAATACTAGGGACTGTTAAACTTGCAGTTAGGTGAGAGTTTTTACTCTATGATGAAGGCCTTATTGTGACTTATGAAAATAAATAAGCAATAAAAGTGCTTTTACTTTGGGTGTTTTCATGTATGTGAAGTGATTTTGTGTTACAATTGATACACCATATATCTTCTCTTTTCATTTATCACATGTTTGAAATCTTCTTTAGAGTACAACCACCAATATGAGATTCAGAAAGCGTGACTTCCAATCTGAAAGTTTAGGACTTTCAGAGTGCTTTCAGTATAAAACTGTTAATTATTGTTTTGTTTGTTCTGGTGCTTGTTATTTATTATGATGCTAATGCTAATAATTTTTTATGAGTTGTTATTCCCCTGATCAAGATTAAGGTAGATAGGGTGTCTTCCTCCATCTTGGATGTTGAAATACAAGAAAACAATCGGTCTAGATCTTTAATAAAAGGTGCAAATTTTGAGAGTAGTAGGTAATTCATGTGTAAGAATTTTCATTTCAATAGAGACAAGAGTGCACACGCTGAAATGTCTCGCCTTCTTTACTAATCATTGATATTATGTTGATAGTCCTAAATATAAAGCTTTACTACAACTATCACATACACTTAACATGATCCAAGAAAATGAGGTCAAGGTCATATAAACCAAACAAGAAATACATGTACACCTTACAATCATTCAATACACTAAATTTAGTTGACCTATTGTTTATAGTTTCTAAGATACAGACTTAACCAAGAAAACTAAACATTGACCAATGAACCAAGAAAATGAGGTCAAGGTCAGATGAACAATGCCAGGCAGACATGTACTACAGCTTGCAATCCTTCCATACAACAAATATAGTTGACCTATTGCTTATAGTATTAGAAAAACAGACCAAAACACAAAAACTTAACACTGAGCAATGAACCGTGAAAATGAGGTCAAGGTCAAATAAAACCTGCAAGACTGACAGGTACATCATAAAATATTTCCATACACCAAATATAGATGACCTATTGCATAAAGTATTAGAAAAAAAGACCAAAACTCAAAAACTTAACTTTGACCACTGAACCATGAAAATGAGGTCAAGGTCAGAAGACACCTGCCAGCTAGACATGTACACCTTACAATCATTCCATACACCAAATATAGTAGACCTATGGCATACAGTATAAGAAAAACAGACCAAAACACAAAAACTTAACTATAACCACTGAACCATGAAAATGAGGTCAAGGTCAGATGACACCTGCCAGTTGGACATGTACACCTTACAGTCCTTTCATACACCGAATATACTAGACCTATTGCTTATAGTATCTGAGATATGGACTTGACCACCAAAACTTAACCTTGTTCATTGATCCATGAAATGAGGTCGAGGTCAAGTGAAAACTGTGTGACGGGCATGAGGACCTTGCAAGGTACGCACATACCAAATATAGTTGAACTATTGCATATAGTATTAGAAAAAAAGACCAAAACTCAAAAACTTAACTTTGACCACTGAACCATGAAAATGAGGTCAAGGTCAGATGACACCTGCCCGCTAGACATGTACACCTTACAATCATTCCATACACCAAATATAGTAGACCTATGGCATACAGTATAAGAAAAACAGACTAAAACACAAAAACTTAACTATAACCACTGAACCATGAAAATGAGGTCAAGGTCAGATGACACCTGCCAGTTGGACATGTACACCTTACAGTCCTTTCATACACCGAATATACTAGACCTATTGCTTATAGTATCTGAGATATGGACTTGACCACCAAAACTTAACCTTGTTCACTGATCCATGAGATGAGGTCGAGGTCAAGTGAAAACTGTCTGACGGGCATGAGGACCTTGCAAGGTACGCACATACCAAATATAGTTATCCTATTACTTATAATAAGAGAGAGTCTAACATTACAAAAAATCTTAACTTTTTTTTCAAGTAGTCACTGAACCATGAAAATGAGGTCAAGGACATTGGACATGTGACTGACGGAAACTTCGTAACATGAGGCATCCATATACAAAGTATGAAGCATTCAGACCTTCCACCTTCTAAAATATAAAGCTTTTAAGAAGTAAGCTAACGCCGCCGCCGCCGCCGCCGCCGCCGCCGGATCACTATCCCTATGTCGAGCTTTCTCCGACAAAAGTCGCAGGCTCGACAAAAATAACATATTTTATCATATTTATGGTTGAATTTTACAGAAAAACAGAATACTTTTGTTTGATTCTATTTTTTCCAACTTTGCCACATAAGGGGAGGCAACTCAAATGTAAGGGCAGATAATTCTGATAAAGTTACTTTTACAATAGAATGTGTTAGGAATTTACCTATTTTATTATGTAGCAAGAAAACGGGTCCCGTGACCCCATTTTTTCTTTTTCTTATCTGAAAGCATACTATTAGAGCTATCTTCTCATATTTTATCTCCAAAATTCTATGGTGTAGTTTTCGTTTTATGGCAGAAAATTGGGTTTTCCATGCATAATCTATACAAAATCTGTCAATTTTGCACAACCTGTAGCGTGGAAATAAGCCCTGTGACCCATTCTTTTTATTATTTTTTTTTAAAAAGCATGATATAAACTACATTTTTGCAAATTATTAAAAAATTCTATGGATTATAATTTAGACACCCCATCTACCTTAAAGGGAGGATCAAGATCTAAAAAAAACTAGTTTAACCCTGTAACTTATTTATGTGCCTGTCCCAAGTCATGAACCATGTAAGCGCTAGTCTTATGTCATATATTAATGTTGTTTTTGTGTTTTTATTTGGAGAAACTTGGTATTGATTGTAGATCTGTGATAATTAATTCAAAACTATTTTTAGACTCAGGATATTTGAACATAAAGATGAGATGTAGTATGATTGCCAATATAACAGCTATCACATGGCAAGGATGTAAACAACAACAGCTTCAACAGAGCTTATTGTAAAGACACCTGTCACTATATGTTGACCTCAAGATGCTTCTACTATTTATGTCATGGGTTGCTATTTCATTGATGTATAGGTATATCCTTTATTTCCTTTTATTCACACCATTAAAAATCAATAAAAATAAACAATGTATATACCATCACTTTAATGTCTATCACAAATTAAATTATGCTGTAAATGTTTCTAAAATATGATTGTGTGTAAAATTTACCAATATAATCAATAAAATAAAACAAATCTCTTAAACAGAGATAACTTAACCAGAAATCAATGAAAATAAAACAGTATTATAAAAAGTTAAGAAAAAACCACAATAAAACATTCTTATAACAAAATGTGTATGCATGATGACATAAAAGTATGTTAACTTGAAAACTGCTATATACACAGTTAATTTAATATACTAGTATCAGTCACAATGTTTCATCTTTCATTCTTAAGAAGTCACATGATCACACTGGTTATCCTGATCCTAATTCTGGGGAGGGTCCCCACTCCTGAGGAGCAATAGACCACTTTTGAGTTATGTCCTTCACCGGAAAAGTTTGTCAATTGTGCATGCCTTTATGACATCATTTACCAGATAGAGGGGATCGCCTGTATCCCTGCACTATTAAACTTCATTAAGCATCTTTGTGATCCTCATAATGCAGGATAAGCTAGAAGTAATGTTTGTTCCGTAGGTACTTAATCACAATTCCCTAATGACAGCAGTGCTGATTATCAATTATAAGAACTTAATTTGCTGAATAATTCTTGCAATATAGCATCATATTTTTTCAACCACTTGCTGAACATGGGAAGGAAGTAACAATGCCCCTAAATGCACGACTGATGTTCACTAAAAAAAAAGTTTTTGACGAAAATGCAACGAAATCAAAAGTGGTCTATTACACGAGACCACAAAAGAGCGTACAAATTTAAAATCTAATGTTATTCATATTTTGAGGGTCAAATTTTTCTAAATGGATATAACTCCACAAATGTTCAATAAAACACTTACTAAATATTGAAATCCATGTGTGAATTCACCAAGAATTAATGCAAAAAGCCTTCACTGAATTCAAAGTTTGCTTTGAAAAATATGAATTTCACATTTCTAAAGGTGACTGTACTTATATGGCTGTCAGCTTTCCTACTTTGTTTTGTTCAATTCATAATCTAAGATACCTTCCTTTGATGATAAAAAGGACTATACAGAACACACTATGAAAAAAAACAAATGCTAGGTAAGTTATATCTGGATACGATTCCCACGGAGCATAATCCTTTGTGGGAATTGGATTCAGATTTTACTTACGAATTGCACTAAACAAAAAATAATTGCTAATCAGGATTCAGATCCCTCTGGGTATTTCAGACTGGGATTATCCGGTGTGATGATTCACTTTTGTTTATTTCCAAATAGACAAAATATTAACAAATCTATTTCTGACTGCATTCTAAGAAACTAGGCATGCAGGAATGACATATAACATATCTTCTTTATAAGTTCTTGATGTCAAAAAAGTAAAATTATTTTTCTAAGGTTACTACAAAATTTAATTGTTTACCAAAGAGTTATAGTAAGTATATAACCTTAAGTTAAACTTAACAATTCTATACTATACAGTGCATATTGTATATTTTAAAGGGATTTGAAGTCACATATTCATTCCTTTAAATGTCAGATTTATATCTTCAAAATTCATGAACTAGTGTGTTTTGTACATGTTAAACAGTTTTCTTCTTCTTACTTTACAATACAAAATGTGATATAAAAACAAAGATCTGTTTTATCACTTAATGGATAAAACAAACCACAGGAACTGGTTCTTGTACTATTAAATATCACCCCAAAAAATCAGTAAACTAATGATCTTCTTTTCATTGGTAAATGGCTAGATTGAAAGTTAAGGTTTGCAATATATGACTGTAAACACAAACTTTTGTAAACTTTGAGAGAAAAACACTTTCTATGAAAATAATTTGCAATTCTATACACGAGTTCAGTACCAAAAATTGCAAAGTTAATGCAATCGAAGGACAAAAACCTTCAAATAATTTTTACTATAAAAATCATTCAACAAGAAAAAACACCATATATTTTTGCAATTTAGTAAAACAAATCTATTATTGTTTTTGTTTAAAAGTGTTGGACAGAATAATCAATGTTTTCTATTCAAAATATTTTTGGAGATATAATCTTAAACAAAATATGATTTTTTAATCATTCAAAGTGAATAACCTCCATCATTTTGCATATTCAATATAAGATCCAATTTTTTAGTTCGTAAGCAAATGTAAATGATATTAATATGGATAATCAATACCTTCATAATCTTATTGAAAAAGAATCTGAATAATAGATAAAAAAAACTAAGTAAGCTTAATTAACAGGAAAAAAATATCTAATATGATAACAATTGTAAATGTTACAGTATGTTACGAACTACTAAATTAATAGACCTCTAAGGTCAAAGGTAATGGCAATCTCACATCAATCCATCACATTGCATAAATAAATAGACTTTATATGTTTTGATGTCTCTTATATCTAACAAATAAATTACAAAATTCTTAAATAAAATATCCCTCAAATTAATATTATAAAATTACAGTGTCCAATTTATTTCTTCTTTATTCCATTTCTTCAGTTGTGCATTTACATTAGAAAAACATTTACAGCCCAGCCATTTATTGAATGAGAGCGGTGAAGGATGAGCTGTTTTTATTACAGAATGTATAGATGAATCAATCAGTTTCTCCTTCTTGTGAGCAAAGTTTCCCCAGAGCACAAAAACTACACCTGAACATTTACTGCTGATGATTCTGATGACATTATCTGTAAAGGTTTGCCATCCATACTTGGCATGAGAATTTGGTTTGTGAGCTCTGAAAATAAAGAAAAAAGTTTCATTACAAAGCAGGTTGGTCTTCAATGCACATCATATTTTACAATACAAAATTAACAGTTCAGAGTATATCCTACACAAATTAAATTACACAACTTCTTCATGGCATCACACACCAGCAGTTTCAACAATGAATGGCAAAAAGGTGGATCAGAGACAAGCAAAACCCTGAGATATTTCCTCTTTAAAGTTTTCCTCCCATTCGCTCATCATTACCACTTTAGATTTAGACTCTCATTGACCCTAAAAGACAGTTTATTAAATTTTTTTTTAAAATCTAACTACAAATTACTACATGATCTTTTAAGTTCTGCTTACTCAATAGTGTGGGATTTAATGATAAACAATTCTATCTCAGCTCATGTCTCCAAACATCTAGTCTTAGGTACACCCCTGTCTCAAATAATCATTCTTAGACCTCTCATCTATGTCACTTTACAGAGAAATATGCATTTCTTAACTACAGCCATTCTTCCCATTTATGTTGACACTTTTTTATTGGTTTTACTTACTCTACTGTGAGGGTAGCATTAATCAACAATACCCATCCCTCTGCCCACTTCTGTCGACACATTTCATTGGTTTTACTTACTCTACTGTGAGGGTAGCATTAATCAACAGCACCCTCTCTCTGCCCACTTCTGTCGACACAATTCATTGGTTTTAATTACTCTACTGTGAGGGTAGCATCAATCAACAGCACCCCTTTCTCTGCCCACTTCTGTGGACACATTTCATTACTTTTACTTACTCTACTGTGAGGGTAGCATTAATCAACAATACACCTTTCTCTGCCCACTTCTGTCGACACATTTCATTAGTTTTACTTAATCTACTGTGAGGGTAGCATTAATCAACAAAACCCCTCCCTCTGCCCACTTCTGTCGACACATTTCATTAGTTTTACTTACTCTACTGTGAGGGTAGAATTAATCAACAATACCCCTCCCTCTGCCCACTTCTGTCGACACATTTCATTGGTTTTATTTACTCTACATTGAGGGTAGCATCAATCAACAGCACCCCTTTCTCTGCCCACTTCTGTCGACACATTTCATTAGTTTTACTAACTCTACTGTGAGGGTAGCATTAATCAACAGCACCCCTTTCTCTGCCCACTTCTGTCGACACATTTCATTGGTATACTTACTCTACTGTGAGGGTAGCATTAATCAACAACACCCCTTTCTCTGCCCACTTCTGTCGACACATTTCATTGGTTTTACTTACTCTACTGTGAGGGTAGCATTAATCAACAGCACCCCTTTCTCTGCCCACTTCTGTAGACACATTTCATTGGTTTTACTTACTCCACTGTGAGGGTAGCATTAATCAACAATACACCTTTCTCTGCCCACTTCTGTCGACACATTTCATTGGTTTTACTTACTCTACTATGAGGGTAGCATTAATAAACAATACACCTTTCTCTGCCCACTTCTGTTGACACATTTTTTTCATTGGTTTTACTTACTCTACTGTGAGGGTAGCATTAATCAACAGCACCTCTTTCTCTGCCCACTTCTGTCGACACATTTCAATGATTTTACTTACTCTACTGTGAGGGTAGCATTAATCAACAATACCCCTCCCTCTGCCCACTTCTGTAGACACATTTCATTGGTTTTACTTACTCTACTGTGAGGGTAGCATTAAACAGCAGCACCCTCTCTCTGCCTACTTCTGTCGTCACATTTTCATTGGTTTTACTTACTCTACTGTGAGGGTAGCATTAATCAACAGCACCCCTTTCTCTGCCCACTTCTGTGGTCACATTTCATTGGTATACTTACTCTACTGTGAGGGTAGCATTAATCAACAGCACCCCTTTCTCTGCCCACTTCTGTCGTCATATTTCATTGGTTTTACTTACTCTACTGTGAGGGTAGCATCAATCAACAGCACCCCTTTCTCTGCCCACTTCTGAGGACACATTTCATTGGTTTTACTTACTCTACTGTGAGGGTAGCATCAATCAACAGCACCCCTTTCTCTGCCCACTTCTGTCGACACATTTCATTAGTTTTACTTACTCTACTGTGAGGGTAGCATTAATCAACAGTACACCTTTCTCTGCCCACTTCTGTCGACACATTTCATTAGTTTTACTTACTCTACTGTGAGGGTAGAATTAATCAACAATACCCCTCCCTCTGCCCACTTCTGTCGACACATTTCATTGGTTTTACTTACTCTACTGTGAGGGTAGCATTAATCAACAATACACCTTTCTCTGCCCACTTCTGTCAACACATTTCATTAGTTTTACTTACTCTACTGTGAGGGTAGCATTAATCAACAATACCCCTCCCTCTGCCCACTTCTGTTGACACATTTCATTGGTTTTACTTACTCTACTGTGAGGATAGCATTAATCAACAGCACCCCTTTCTCTGCCCACTTCTGTCGACACATTTCATTGGTATACTTACTCTACTGTGAGGGTAGCATTAATAAACAACACCCCTTTCTCTGCCCACTTCTGTTGACACATTTCAATGGTTTTACTTACTCTACTGTGAGGGTAGCATTAATCAACAATACACCTTTCTCTGCCCACTTCTGTCGACACATTTCGTTGGTTTTACTTACTTTACTGTGAGGGTAGCATTAATCAGCAGCACCTTCTCTCTGCCCACTTCTGTCGACACATTTTCATTGGTTTTACTTACTCTACTGTGAGGGTAGCATTAATCAACAATACACCTTTCTCTGCCCACTTCTGTCGACACATTTCATTGGTTTTACTTACTCTACTGTGAGGGTAGCATTAATCAACAATACACCTTTCTCTGCCCACTTCTGTCGACACATTTCATTGGTTTTACTTACTCTACTGTGAGGAGAGCATTAATTAACAGCACCGCTTTCTATGCCCACTTCTGTCGACACATTTCAATGGTTTTACTTACTCTACTGTGAGGGTAGCATTAATCAACAATACCCCTCCCTCTGCCCACTTCTGTAGACACATTTCATTGGTTTTACTTAATCTACTGTGAGGGTAGCATTAATCAGCAGCACCCTCTCTCTGCCTACTTCTGTCGACACATTTTCATTGGTTTTACTTACTCTACTGTGAGGGTAGCTTTAATCAACAGCACCCCTTTCTCTGCCCACTTCTGTCATCACATTTCATTGGTATACTTAATCTACTGTGAGGGTAGCATTAATTAACAGCACCCTTTTCTCTGCCCACTTCTGTCGTCACATTTCATTGGTTTTACTTACTCTACTGTGAGGGTAGCATCAATCAACAGCACCCCTTTCTGTGCCCACTTCTGTCGTCACATTTCATTGGTTTTACTTACTCTACTGTGAGGGTAGCATTAATCAACAGCACCCCTTTCTCTGCCCACTTCTGTCGTCACATTTCATTGGTATACTTACTCTACTGTGAGGGTAGCATTAATCAACAGCACCCCTTTCTCTGCCCACTTCTGTCGACACATTTCATTGGTTTTACTTACTCTACTGTGAGGGTAGCATCAATCAACAGCACCCCTTTCTCTGCCCACTTCTGTCGTCACATTTCATTGGTTTTACTTACTCTACTGTGAGGGTAGCATTAATCAACAGCACCCCTTTCTCTGCCTACTTCTGTCGACACATTTCAATGGTTTTACTTACTCTACTGTGAGGGTAGCATTAATCAACAACACCCCTTTCTCTGACCACTTCTGTCGTCACATTTCAATGGTTTTACTTACTCTACTGTGAGGGTAGCATTAATCTACAGCACCCCTTTCTCTGCCTACTTCTGTCGACACATTTCATTGGTATACTTACTCTACTGTGAGGGTAGCATTAATCAACAACACCCCTTTCTCTGCCCACTTCTGTCGACACATTTCATTGGTTTTACTTACTCTACTGTGAGGGTAGCATTAATCAACAACACCCCTCTTTCTGCCCACTTCTCTAGACATCCTGTGTTGGGTTCTACATTAAAGTTCTTTATATTTTGATCATTTACCAACTCTTTGTAGATGTTCTTCAGAGAAGGAGGAAGACGTATTCCATCTGGTACAGAGAAAGACATACCCATAGCCTAAAATATAAAGAGGTGGCAAAGGATATTAGTTAATGAGAGGGAACATAACAAGACAAAAATTGACAACACAGTTACATGTATATAATCAATAGAAAGGTGCACTCTATCTACTAATATACAATAGTGGTAAATTCAGAAATTTGCATTGTTTTAATACGTATTACGAAAATTGTGACAGGATAGGTGTTACAGAAAAAAAACTTGGCCTTTTAAATTTTGATAGCTTTATTTGTTTGCAGCATTTTGTATATAATAATATGTAAAAATGCCATGAAGCACATTAAGACCTTCACAGAGTAAGTTTTAAATGACACACCTGCCCATCGTCATGGTAAGGATCTTGTCCTAATATCACAACTTTCACCTGCAAATAAAAAAAATTCTGAGTAAATATTAATTGACTTAAATGTTCCCATTTGGTAGACTTGTGCTGCTGGATTTCTGCATCACTGTAATTAACAACACACCTTTATTTATATATATGTTAAATGAATTGGTAAAATATATGCAATTCTAGGAGTTTTGTATGATCACTAACTTGACAAGTAAATTTATATATTCCCCTATTTACAAAATCACTGAAATAATAAAGAAGCTTTTTATGAATTCACTGGCTTAATTCAGGGAATTTAGAAAAAGATAAGTGATGTACATTGTATATCCAATTTCAATGTTTAATAAATTCATAGATTATTTTTTAACATAATTTAGTACTACAGTAAGATTTTAAATTATTTCTAGTCAGTTTGAAGATTTTCTCATGTGTTCACTTATTCTAATAACTGTAATACTTATAATTATTATACCTTACATATATGATCAACAATTCTGTTGGGTAACACACCATCACGTGACATAGGATAGTTCAGTTAATTTTCATTTCAATGCAAGGAAGGAAGAATAACCCTTAAAATTTACATCAAGCGATGAATAACCCTTTTATTCACCAGTGAATAACCTTTAGAGCTTCTTGATTTGTATACAGTTACATGTATTTCCCATCAAAATTACGTCATAAGCACATGTAAACTTCACTTTCAAATCAATTAATAATATTAAAACTGTCAACACAGAGATATGTCTCACCTTTTTGTTATTTTGATATAAATGCAAGTGTTGAAATTAAAATAGCAATACTTTAACATGTAAGTTGTGCAAATATTCAAAGTCAATGAACCATGACTGAAGGTACAGGGCTAAAGGCAATCTCCATGAAAATGAGATTGCCAATGCTAATACAACTGCATACCAAATACCAAAGACTTACCATGAGTTGTTCCCTTTAAACAAACCTAAACACAAACATTAACTTATAAATTATGTAAAAGTTTCAAAGACAATGAACCATGATGAGGGGTTGGGGATATTTAAATCTGCATGGAAATGAGACTTGCAAATGCCAATACATTTGCATACCAAATACCATTGACTTATCATTAGTGGTTCATCTTAAACTGATCTAATCACAAACTAAGCAAAAGTTTCAAAGTCAATAGACCATGACTGAGGGATAAAGACCAAATATTCTCCATGGAAATAAGATGTGCTAATGCTTATACAACTGGATACCAATTATCATTGACCTACCACTAATAGTTCCCCTTTAAATCACCTACCACTAGTGGTTCCCATAAACTGACCTAATCACAAACTAATACATATAAACTAAGCAAAAGTTTCAAATTCAATAGACCATGACTGAGGGGGTTGGGCCAAATAATCTTCATGGAAATAAGATGTGCCAATGCTAATACAACTGCACACCAAATATCATCGACCTACCACTAGTGGTTCACTATAAACTAGACATAATCACAAACTAATACATTGACGCCACCGCCGACGATGGAAACAGCATACCTATGTCTCGCTTTTTGACTCCGTCAAGGAGATACAATAATGACTGATACCTTGTCAAGTGGTGTCTTGTTAAAAGCATTAAATATCAAATCTTTTGGTGGGAAAACTTGTACACCTTTTTTATAGTCACTCTGTAACAGAACTTCTAAATCATTAAAATAATCCTTCTGAAATTCTTCTTTCAATGCAGATGCCCACCCAGCATCTTTAATATACGAAACCAAGTTCAAGTCTGAATTTTTAGCTGAAAATAAATGAAAACACATTAATAGTATCGCTTTCATAACAGTTTGGACGAGACAATTTATTGTCAAGTCTCCCATTGACTGGGTTAAATTAGGTGAACGTTCGTCTGTAACGCCCACTTATTACGTCGTATTTATTATAGATATTTAAACTGTGGGGTCACCAAAGGTTCTCAACGCCTAAATCAAATAATTCGAAAAACTAGTACAGGAATAACCTTTGTGTTTTGATTAATATTGAATACTTAAACGTTCTTTACTTGCATTTTTGTTATGTTTTGATGAACAATTTGTATGATATCGCACTTTCTTTAAACATAAAAATTAATTTAACTAGCTTTAAAAGTTACAATGTATGTGTTGGCTATTATCTTTTTTCGGACGTCAAAGCGATTAACCCATTGCAGTTGTTTAATTTTTTCACTTAGTATCTTTTAATTTTTATCTTGTGTAAAATTTCATTTTAGAACGAATGCATGATCAACTTTCAATAGAACGAATGCATGATCAACTTTCAATAGTTGTCCAATTACAAAACATAAACAAAATATACTTTTGTAAGGTCTTTTTCGTACTTGCAAAATATTAGACAGTAAAAAGCTTTTTGGACCAAGCCTTATGAAATTTGCATTTACTCCAAGAAATACTAGTAGGTAAAATGTAAAGTCAGGTGTATTTTGGAAACTTAAACTTTTCTGCTAACTACTATACTTGTGAAAAACCCTTGATTATGCACCGACTATTCTTCCTTTTCTGACTGTGTGTGTGTTGGTTTTTTTTGTGAAGGGGGATATTGTTTTTTTTCCTCATGCACATACATGAACATTACTTTTTTAATCATGTAACACCTTAGTGTCGTATTTTTTTTCTTCCCTAATTTTGAATGTAAATCAATTACTTTTTTTTACCTCTTTTTTCTGAAACAAAGTATTTTTTTTCCTTTCCAATTTTTTTTTTAGAATCAACTCATTTTTTTTTAGAATCAACTCTTTTTTTTTTTAAATACAGCCTAACTTACACACACACAATAATTAACGGCAGTTAATGTAACACCTTCGTCCTTTTAAGATCCCAATGAAAATGTGCATATAATATATGTATCACGCAGGAAACTAATTTTGAAAATGTGGTCAAAATTTGCTCGAAGCGGAAAAAAACAACAGCTTAATATGGATTGAAATTGAAGTAATTGTTATAATTTACACAACATTACTTTTTCCAATATAAACATTCAAATTTTATTATTTTTTTCTTCTTTTTTTTAATTTACAACATTTTTTTCAAAGACCACATTGTGACTTCGAGATTAAGTACAACCAAGAAAGCGCTTTACCTTTTCTTTCTCCTGCTGCTAGTTTAACTAAGTTATTTTGTGTCATGAATTGGTATTGATGTCTTCTCGTATATTTTTAAATATGAAGAAAGGGGGATCCAGTTGTATGTCAATAAGACACAAACAAAAGATAAAATAAATGGGGAATGTGTCCATAGGACACAGATGATGCCCCCGCTGGCATATAATGTTAAAAAGGAACATAACTCAAGAACAGTAAAAGTGACGCTACCCAAATTTGTACTTGATTTGAGTTTTGTGGTAATAAGCATTGTGTATAAATTTCATAACATTTGGTTGAGGCAAACTAAAGTAAGATAACGAAAACGAAAAATTCAGCAATTTTTCCGTTTGTAAAGGGGCATAACTCTAGAATGGTAAAAGTGACCCCACCAAAATTTAAACTTGATCTGTGTTTTGTGGTAATAAGAATTGTATATAAGATTTATAACATTTGGTTGAGGCAAACTAAAGTGAGAGAACAGTAACGAAAAATTCAGCAATTTTTCCATTTGTAAAGGGGCATAACTCTAGAACAGTAAAAGTGACGCTACCAAAATACAAACTTGATCTGTGTTTTGTGGTAATGAGCTTTATGTATAAGTTTCATAACATTTGGTTGTGGCAAACTAAAGTTATGCGGGGGCATAAAAATTAAACAAGAGGCTCTCAAGAGCCTGAATCGCTCACCTGTTATTTTTTTTGCTTAAATCTTTCATCAATGATTATTTTTGCTTTTTACCCATATGTTCCATTTTAGCCATAGTGTCTATGTTTCTTGACGTACAAGGAAATGAAATACAAAATTTGTACTAGATTCATTTAAGAAGATTTTTAAAGTTAAAAAACATAAAACAACTTGTGTAAAATTGTCCTTAAAGGGCAATAACTCCTTAAGGGGTCAATTGACAAATTTGGTCATTTAACTTTTCTGTAGATCTTACTTTGCTGAACATTATTGCTGTTTACAGATTATATCTATCTATAATAATATTCAAGATAATAACAAAAAACTGCAAAATTTCCTCAAAACTACCAATTTAGTGGCAGCAACCCAACAATGGGTTGTTCGATTTGTCTGAAAATTTCAGGGCTGATAGATCTTGACCAATTGAACAATTTTACCCATGTCAGATTTGCTCTAAAAGCTTTAATTTTGGAGATGTAAGCCAAAAACTGCATTTGACCCCTATGTTCTACTTTTAGCCATGGCGGCCATGTTTGTCGATGGATTAAAACTTCGGATACAATTTATAAACTAGATATCCTAAGGAACATTTAGATGAAGTTTGAAGGTATTTGGCTAAGTAGTTTCAGAGATGAAGATTTTTAAATGTTAGCAAACTTGATGAACAAATTGTGTAAAATTGTCTTTAAAGGCAACTCCTTAAGGGGTCAATTGACAATTTTGATCATATAAAACTTTTTTGTAGATCTTACTTTGCTGAACATTATTGCTTTTTACAGTTTATATCTATCTATAATAATATTCAAGATAATAACAAAAAACTGCAAAATTTCCTTAAAACTACCAATTTAGTGGCAGCAACCTAACAATGAGTTGTTCGATTCGTCTGAAAATTTCAGAGCTGATAGATCTTGACCAATTGAACAATTTTACCCCATGTCAGATATGCTGTAAAAGCTTTAGTTTTTGAGATATAAGCAAAAAACTGCATTTGACCCCTATGTTCAATTTTTAGCCATGGCGGCCATGTTTGTCGACGGATCAAAACTTTGGATACAATTTATAAACTAGATACCTAAGGAACATTTAGTTAAAGTTTGAAGGTATTTGGCCCAGTAGTTTCAGAGGAGAAGATTTTTTGTGAAAAGAGTTTCATTTTATGTATCGAAATGTGTAACAAGTGATTATTTAAATCCCCACTGGAAGGCCTCTGACAGACTGAGTGAGCGTAAAATCATTGTTATCGATAGCCAATGACAGACAAGTTAAAGGTAAAAGATTCAGTATTATTAACAACAAAAGTACTACGGTTGTCAACACTGTTACAGGAATACCTCTAAGTCAAAATGAATATATATCATATATATGCATAAAGTTACTGGTTTTCTTAGGTATGACATACAATTTGTTCTTTTAAATCATTAAAAATATAAACTTGTTACTTATTTTCATCAGTTGTCTACTTTTACAGAAAATTTAAAATATTCCTGTAATTTTGTGAATGTCTTTATATAAAAATTATTCTTTTTAAATGAATTAAAGATGTGAGTTATTTGTTAGTACGAGACAATAAATCAACAATACTTAAACCCATTTAAAGGTCTGCTTGCAGTCATCAACAAAAGACAGATGTCAACTCCATGTCAAACTCAGACCTGGCATATATAGAATGTGTTTGGTTAAACTGGTTTGTATGTGCTCCCCCTAACCTGGGAAAGTAGTGTAACAGCACAACATAAGACCATACATAAGTACAAACTGTAATCATAAGCTGGAAATGGCTTGATTTATCAGATTGGCAAGAAACACAAAAAACAACTAACATAAAGACAAAATACTTAAAGTATCTATCTAAGATTACTCAGTTACAGAAAGTTATTTCAACATGTTCAATGCAATTACAATTAAAAAATAAATCAAGTTCTTCCAGACTAAAGAAGGGGCCTTGGTGGCCAAGCGGTCTGAGTAGTTCAACTACTGAATCACTAGCCTGTCAGCACCGAGATGTGAGTTACAAACCCCACACTTGGCAGGTGTGCTCAACTCTAACCTTAATTGACTTGAATTGTCAGTTTTCCTGCCGAAAGTCAGTGGTTCTGAACTTGTCTCAGGGCACTGCGGCTTCCCCCACCAATAACAACTGACTGCCTGTTGGCCATAAAATAGCCAATAGTGGCATTAAACACCAATCAATCATCTATCAATCCAGACTAAAGCATCAACCAGTAGTTCCAGTACACACAGTCTGAGAAATGTACGACCTTGTGCAATGCCAAAACTTAAGAACATTGTATACACAGGCTCTAAGATGGTGAGTACAACCTTAAAAGTTTTCAGAACTGTATAGCAATACATATTCAGTTATCTTTTTATTTTCATCAAAACAAACAGTGTTAAATTAATAATCCTCAAAAATAAGTTTATTGGAAGGATTAATGAGTTGACATTATCTCTATTATTATCAATATATCTAGATTTACAGACACTTCAAACAATATCAATATAAAAATTAGGATGTGATGTAAATGAGTAGAGCAAACCTGCAGTTTTACTATTAGCTGAGGAGTTTGCATTTGTAACAGTATTTCCAGATGTCTTTCTGTCCTTTCCTTTGGATTTTGCCTTTTTTTCTATTGGTTTGGATTTTCCCTTCGATACTTTGGGTATGGAATTTGCCTTAGTTTCCATTGCTTTGGAGGTTGCCTTAATTTCTTTAGATTTAGATTGTGCCTTCTTTTCTATTGGTTTAGTTTTGTTTGTCTTTTTATTTTGCTTCGGTTTTTGGCTTGTTGATTTCTTCCTCTGAGCAGTTGTTGTCTTGGTAACCTTTGCCTTTTTAGTTGGTGATGAATCTTCAGAAGTTGAAGCAGCTTTTCTCTTTGGTGGCATGTTCTATTAATATAAAGGATTATTTGTACATACTACATTGTACATTTCTGATGAAATATAATTATTCTCATTAATAAATATTTTGAAATATAAACCTTTGATATAAAGTTCTATAAATCAGACAATTAGGTGTACTAATTCTTACAAGATAGAATAAAGACCATTCACAAGGAAGAAATACAAAAATAAGAAGATGTGGTATGATTGCCAATATGACAATGTTTATAAGAATGAACAAACTATGTAAATATTAAAGTGAAATCAATGGTTATATTGATCGGGTTGAAGTATGATTGATATCAGGGCTTTCAACTTTTCAAGTTGCTCAGGTTTGTTTTTATTCAAGTGTAATTTAGGAGGTGTAAACACCATTTTGTCATAATGAACCTTAAGACTCCCTGATGACTTGGCCCATAAAAACTTGGACTATACATTTGTAACAAACTTGGACTACTACTGTGTGTCTAGAATAATTTAAGTAAGATAAACAATGTTGAAATCTATTATTAATTAAAATAATCAAATTATTTATTTTCATCCTATTGCAAGAAAGAAATATAAATATTGTACATGTTAACTAGATAAACTAAAGGCTCTAAAGAACCTGTGTCACTCACCTATGTATATGTGCATTTTCAACACTGGACATTCTAAATAATTGTAGACTATAATATAACTCATGACCAAAATCTTTTCTTTGTTAAACTTGTATTGCTGATCATTTTTCCGGTTACATGTAGCAGTTTCTCTCTAACTAAATGTACTAAAGTGTTTGCCCAAAACACAAAAAGGGTAAACAAAATATCATTATTTAAGGCCAATGACTCCTATAAGTTTTGTTAAATTTGGCCAAGTAGTTTCAGAAAAGATTTCTATAAAAGTTAACAGACAACTTACGACAAAGACAATGGATGCCAAGTGATGGCAAAAGCTCATACTGGCCCTTTGAGGGCAGGTGAGCTATAGATAAAATGAAAACTTTTTAAAGTTTATATTCAAATTTACCACTTTTATTTTATGTTCCATTACTTTCTTATTTTCTTTTTCTAATTATGTATTAAATGCATGACTTATTTGAATGAACATAACCTATGATTACAGCTGAATATTGCCATGAGTAGTTTTTACACCTTTTTGATCAACTTAAAATAATTAATTACTAGCAGTCTAACACCTGTACTTTTATACTTTTTCAATCACCCATTAATCTTAATGAGAACATAACTACCTGTAATTTCACAACTGTATTACATTGTAATTATCCAAATATCCAGAACATTCACAGTACAACTGCGATCACCATGTGCGGTACACATATTTTTCATGTACTTTTCATAAAAAATAATTTGATTACAAATCTATTTTTCATTCTAAGCATTCATATATTCATATGGATTTGATGTAATTTACAATGTAATAGCGTCTTGGGAGGAATAATTGGAAGCCTCTGTTTTTATAAAATTTTACACAAAATTGTATAATGATAAAACACATTAAAAATATATGTACATCTAAAAACGTCGATAAGAAATCTCCAGTTATGAGGCCCAAACACCAGCTGAAGATTTTCAAATCTCCAGTTGTGACTTAACAACTTTTTCACATGGATGAAGTTTTTGGTTTGACCTGGCCAGGGTTCAAACCCATGACCTCCCGCATTCCTGGTGAAAACACTACCATGAGACCACAGAGGTGGTCTCTAAATTAGTAAATATAAGGAATAGTGTAAAAATATGATATATTGATATGTATCTTTTCATTCTATCGTGTCAATTTATATCATTATATATGCAATAGGTCTTAATCATTTATTGTTAACATGGTTAATGAGTTTGTGTCAATAAAATATTTGTACTTGTAGTATGAATTCACACCAAAATATCAAATATTTAATACTCCTATTAGTCTCATCAATAAGTTAACATACAGTTTTCATATAGACATGTATCTATACAATATGTCAAGCTCGTCTTCTTTCACAGGTACATATAAAAGACCCATACTGCTTATGAAGAAACAACTAAAGCGGAAGTGCCGAGCAGCGCAGTAAACATTACACATCCGCATAAAATATAATTCTTCTACTTTTTCTTTTGTTTCGAAATTCGTTTCGTTTTAAAATTAAGATTTGCATATACTTTGATTGTTTTAATTTCTATCTGTTTCATTAAAATGACATATTTGAAAGGAGGGTTAAAATAGTATGAGCGTAGTAATTTTTGAAAAAGAGAACTTCCGACATCTTTGTTTACTTCCTGTGAAATTAGATAGCGCCAAATATTCATAAATTCACCATTTGAAAGCTGTTAAGGTGCCACGTACGTATCAGTTGTGCTAAAAGACTTTTGTTTAATTCGTTAAGTAATGCTTAATTGCCCATGTTAAAAGTTTAATGTACAGTCGTGGCAATGAGTCGAGTGACTCATCAATCAATTGTATTGAGTGATTTTATCCTTCACCCTGGCCTTTGTTTTCGTTTGATCACAGGGGCTTGTATCATATATGTTTGGGTCGGAAATATGTTACAGTCGTCTGGAATCTGCGGCACTTTACAATCAAACAATGTGACGTACATCAATCACCTTTGCATGGCGTCATAAATTTTCTATCGTGGCATTAACATTTTATGGAATCGTCTGTGATCACAAGTAAATTAATGGTTAACAAATAGATGTTAAGGGTTTGTGGTCTAGTGGTTAAAATTTAATGCTGTAGTGCTGAAAATCATTGGTACGATCCTGACTCCGGGATTTGGAAATTTCAGAATTAGAAAGGTGATTTTCACCCTCCCACACACATCTCTTGTACAAAAAAATAATTATAAATGCTAATAAATATCAGGGTTTAAGCTAGGATTTTGAGGGCTTTAGTCACTTTTGCGCGAGATGAAAATCAACATTATTTTGCCAATTTTTGGGTAACGGCAAGGGACCAAGGATGTATGTATATTACTAACTATACATCTTTGTCAGACTTTGAAGGACTAGTTGCATGATTTGACTGATGTGTCATTTAAATATGAAGATTAGGATATAAGATCTGAAAATCTAGTTCAAAATTTTACTTCAATTAGTTTCAGGGGACATTCCTGATCAACAAAAGTTGGGTTCCTTTTTTTTTAAACCAGGAATCACAGAATAAATGAACTTGTTGAACTTTGTATGACTATTAGTATTACACTGCATAATCATTATCCTTATAAGACGTTTAAATCGATATTTTGAATTAATTAAATAAAGTTGGAACCAAGGATTTGTACAAATTCACATGGAACGATTCCAATAACTGTAAATTGTAAATTAATCGAGAATTGATCACGTTTACTTTCGATTTTCAAATGAAATGTAAACAGGAAGTGACAAGTAGTTAATGAATCTGGATTCATCTACGGATTGGTTCGTGTTTAAAAAAAGGCAGGAAATTATCATTTTTTATTTCAATTTGCTTAGAAAGAACTATATTTGTCTCTCTCATTTATTTTGGCACTAAATTTATTTCGTATTTTACGTTTTAGTGTCTATAAATTCATAGGAATACTTTCACTCATGCACAATAAATCATAAAGGAAGCACCTGTTTGACTCGTTGATGATGATGGAAGTTTTTAACTTGAAAACATTTCTGAACGTTTTGAATAAAGTTCTATCTTTTTATTCGAAATTGAACGTTTTATATCAAAGATGACGAAAGTACGATCATCTGACAAAACTACGACAAACGAACTGCAAGTTATGATCGTTTTAGAAATATCGAAATTAAAAAATTGTCCGGGGGAAAACAATTTTGTTCAAATGACGACACTACGACTACGACAAGCGAACTGCAAAATCTGGTCGTTGGCCTTGAGAAATATTGAAATTAAAATGCAGACTGACTAATTTTACTGGGGAAAACAATTAACCGGATTAGTGACCCCTCCGATGGCGATAAGCGGATTAGCTGTAATCACAACTTTATAACACCTGTACGTTGTAAATGTTAATTAGCTGAGGGTCATAAACATGTAGACAGGTCGAATTATAGTATTTTCATGCGAAAATATTTTTACACTTTCCAAAATTAAGTGACGAAATTGATTTGAAATAATTTCGTCATTTTAAAACGGTTTCGTAAATTACGATAGTGATGAGCGCTAGCAAAATCACTAAATATTCAAATGAAATGTTTTTATTTTTGGTGTTGTATCTGAACAAATAGTGTTTTCTTGTATATTATGGAACTGAAATTCAGAAAAATATTTTGTTTGGTTTTATATATATATATCAGGCTAATTTTTAGTGACATTGGCCATTGCTTTGTATAGATTTGTAATATTCAGTCATTAACTGTTTACAGCCTGAAGTTGTTTCTGTTGAATTCTATGTGACATAATTGATAATGTTGTATTATAATGATTTTATCTTAAATAAAATTAAGTTGTAGTTCAGTTGACACAAAAGTAAACAGGATAGATAGAAATGCATCGCAGCATGGGAAGGTTTTCATTTCTAGTTTCAAGCTTCACATGTCCTTTAAATCTTATCTGTAGTGATCCATGTTAAAGGTTAATATTTGTTTTTAATTACAGAATGACAGGCCATGTGATAGACAAGTTGTGACAAGATTAAAAGTTAAGATTAATTTATAATTATAGAATGACAGGCCGTGTGATAATTGTGACAGGAGCCAACACAGGTATTGGTTATGCTGCAGCACAGAACCTTTGTGAGGGTGGTAATGATGTCATACTAGCCTGTAGGAATGAAGAGAAAGGGAAGGCAGCAGTAGAACAAATACTAAAGAAACATCCTAATGCCTTGGCAACATTTATGCAGGTTATTTCATGCGTTATAGGTCTTTCTAGAAACCTACTTCAGAAAGCCCAAATCTAGTTTTAAAAATACAATTAAATACAAATTATTATTTAGTATACTGGTTATTACCAGTGGTATAAATACTGCTTCACTGCAGTGTAGAGCAAAGGTGATAGATAAACAAGAAAACAATTTTCGCCTGTACGTACGTACATCCCGAAATTGGTTTTCGTTCTCTAACTTTAGTTTGCCTCAACCAAATGTTATCAAACTTATACACAATGCTTATTACCACAAAACACAGATCAAGTTTGAATTTGGGTGGCATCACTTTTACCTTTGAAGAGTTGTGCCCCTTTACAAATGGAAATATTGCTGAATTTTTCCTTTCCGTCAAGGTTGGCAAAAAAGCGGTCAATACTAGTATTGACCATGCCGGCGGTAAATACCGGGAAATACTGGCAAATACTGGTCGATTGAAATTTTGAGTCGACATTACTATAAAAACCACTCTCTATTGGTGAATTACTTTTAGAAAATGAAATAATGAAAGAGTTAAAGTCATTTTAAATGATCTCATTTCTATTTTTATTGTAAATTCTTAAAAAAAAGTGATTTAAAATGTTTTATTAGTACATAAGATAAAAATAGTACATAAGATAAAAATGTTTTGTCCCTGGCAAGGAAACTCATCAGGTGGCTTTTGCACTGACTATAGCATTGCAATCATTACATTTTGCACTGGTTTTGTTGTTGTCTTATATTGTATAGAAGTTCCAAATAGGGTCTTCAGGTTTCAGTTTGGTGCTTAAGGTCAAGATGGTTGTACTATGTGTATGTAAATCACGTAAATATTGATTATGTAAAGGTAAAATTTATACAACATTATATATTTTTTGGTTTAAAACATAAATTACAGTTCAGCCATAAGAGTAAAGGTCCTTCATACCTTCCATTTCCTGCAAAAAGATGATTTTTTTCTGACATTTAATTGACAGGAAATATTTTATGTTTAAGTGAGTCTTCAAATATCACTTTTATTACTTTCAACCATGTTTTGTCATCAATTTATTTGGGGCTGTTGTTTTTATAGTAATTAAACTTTCACACCTAACAATGCCAGGTGATAGGTAATAAGACACCTGTAAAGTTCATTTACCTGTAGTTTTATGTACTTGTAAAAATTATGCATTTTCAATAAAAATTATCTTGATTGAAAAATGTTGTAATAATTAATTTGTCAATTCTTTATATATATATCTAAAATATGCAATATCATAACTTATAAGGACTAAATTAGTAGGTATAAGTGTTAAAAATGAATAAAACATATCAAATTCATTCAATTATATCAGCTGAAACATACCAAAAGATAAAAGTTTAAATATATCTTACTTTTTATAATTATTTTACTTCAATAAATAGTAAAAACCACCATGAAAATTTCAATCGACCAGTATTTGCCAGTATTGACCAATTGAGGAGTATTGTCCGGGGCGGTAAATACCGCCGGTAAATACCAGGGGCGGTAAATACTGCCCAACCTTGCTTTCCGTTCTCTAACTTAAGATTGCCTCAACCAAATGTTATCAAACTTATACACAATGCTTATTACAACAAAACTCAGATCAAGTATGAATTTGGGTAGCATCACTTTTATCATTCTTGAGTTGTGTCCCTTTATAACGTTATATGCAAGCGGGGGCATCATCTGTGTCTCATGGACACATTCCCCATTTATTTAATTTACCATATTTCCAGCTTTATATTGGAGTTTGATTACGAGTATATATATACAAACCAAATATTATCTTTGAATCGACATGGATTAAAATCCACTAAGTGTTGACTCTATATTTAGTATAGTTGCTGCAAAGCATTTTTATACGACCGCAAAAATTTTTGTGGTCGTATATTGGTATGACGTTGGTGTCGTCGTCGTCGTCGTCCGAAGACACATTGGTTTTCGCACTCTTACTTTATTTTAAGTGAATGGATCTTTTTGAAATTTGACCATAAGGTTAAATACCACAAAAGGAAGGTGGGGATTGATTTTGGGGGTTATGGTACCAACAGTTAAGGAATAAGGGGCCAAAAAATGGGCCAAAAATAAGCATTTTCTAGTTTCCAGACAATAACTGTGGAACGGTGTATGGATCTCTCTGAAATTATACTACAAGTTTCCATACCACAAAGGGATGGTTAGGATTTGCTTTGGGGGGTTATGGCTCAAACCGTTTAGGAATTAGGGGCAAAAAAGGGGGAAAAACAAGGTTGTCCTGGTTAATGGACAAATACTATAGTACAAAACATAATTTAAAGCAGTGTAAGGGAGATAAATCAAATACATCATTGAAATTATCTCCCTTACACTGCTTTTAAATTATGTATAAAGTAATGGTTAATGAACAATAAAGATAATTTAAAACAGTGTAAGGGAGGTAATCCAAATACAACGTTTTGGTTACTTCCCTTACACTGCTTTTAAATTATGTTTAAAGAAATGCATATTTATACAGGAAGACCAGTAAAAATATCTGCAAATGTTGCATCTTTTTTTTTTTACAAAAAAATCCATATGAAAGATTTGACACTATATTTTTAATTCTATTATAAAATAGATTAAGTTAGCACTATGGTAAATTTAAATGGGTAATTATGGTTGCCAACTCCATTGGAAATTTGAATTGAGATTATGACCATATCTTGAGGGAAAGAATTTTTTGGGGGAAAAAAGGGGGGGGGATAAAAAGAAATTGTGGGGGGTCAATTCTTTCTCATTTCAGATTTCAGAAATTAAAAAGAATTATTCTTCAAATATTATTTTTTTTTCAAATTTCAAATATTGAAAAATTTCAAGAAGTAATCTTTAATTGCACAGTATGGCGCATTAGATTTGTAAAATCTTTGATCACATTTATTTATGTGTTATGCCGAATCTAACAGTGTATTGAGATTTTTAATTTTGGGTCCAGTTTTCAAATTGGTCTACATTAAGGTCCAAAGGGTCCAAAATTAAACTTTGTTTGATTTTAGCAAAAATTGAATATATGAGGTTCTTTGATATGCTGAATCTAAACATGTATTTAGGTTTTTGATTTTTGGCCCAGTTTTCAAGTTGGTCCAAATTGGGGTCCAAAATTAAACTTTGTTTGATTTCAACAAAAATTGAATATATGGGGTTCTTTGATATGCTGAATCTAACCATGTATTTAGATTTTTTATTTGTGGACCCCGTTATCAAATTGGTTCATATTGAGGTCAAAAGGGTCCAAAATTAACTTTGTTTGATTTCATCAAAAATTGAATTATTGGGGTTCTTTGATATTCCAAATCTTAACCATGTATTTAGATTTTTAATTTTGGGTCCTGTTTTTTAAATTGGTCTACATTAAGGTCCAAAGGGTCCAAAATTAAACTTAGTTTGATTTTAACAAAAATTGAATTCTTGGGGTTCTTTGATATGCTGAATCTAAACATGTGTTTAGATTTTTGATTATGGGCCCAGTTTTCAAGTTGGTCCAAGATAGGGTCCAGTATTTAAACTTTGTTTGATTTCAACAAAAATTGAATATATGGGGTTCTTTGATATGCTGAATCTAAACATGTATTTAGATTTTTGATTATGGGCCCAGTTTTCAAGTTGGTCCAAATTGGGTTCCAAAATTAAACTTTGTTTGATTTCAACAAAAATTGAATATATGAGGTTCTTTGATATGCTGAATCTAACCATGTATTTAGATTTTTTATTTGTGGGCCCCGCTATCAAATTGGTTCATATTGAGGTCAAAAGGGTCCAAAATTAAACTTTGTTTGATTTCATCAAAAATTGAATTATTGGGGTTCTTTGATATGCCAAATCTAACCGTGTTTTTAGATTTTTAATTTGGGTCCCGTTTTTTAAATTGGTCTTCATTGAGGTCCAAAGGGTCCAAAATTAAACTTAGTTTGATTTTAACAAAAATTGAATTCTTGGGGGTTCTTTGATATGCTGAATCTAAACATGTGTTTAGATTTTTGATTTTTGGCCCAGTTTTCAAGTTGGTCCAAATTGGGGTCCAAAATTAAACTTTGTTTGATTTCAACAAAAATTGAATATATGGGGTTCTTTGATATGCTGAATCTAACCATGTATTTAGATTTTTTATTTGTGGACCCCGTTATCAAATTGGTTCATATTGAGGTCAAAAGGGTCCAAAATTAAACTTTGTTTGATTTCATCTAAAATTGAATTATTGGGGTTCTTTGATATTCCAAATCTAACCGTGTATTTAGATTTTTAATTTTGGGTCCTGTTTTTTAAATTGGTCTACATTAAGGTCCAAAGGGTCCAAAATTAAACTTAGTTTGATTTTAACAAAAATTGAATTCTTGGGGTTCTTTGAGATGCTGAATCTAAACATGTGTTTAGATTTTTGATTATGGGCCCAGTTTTCAAGTTTGTCCAAGATAGGGTCCAGTATTTAAACTTTGTTTGATTTCAACAAAAATTGAATATATGGGGTTCTTTGATATGCTGAATCTAAACATGTATTTAGATTTTTGATTATGGGCCCAGTTTTCAAGTTGGTCCAAATTGGGGTCCAAAATTAAACTTTGTTTGATTTCAACAAAAATTGAATATGTGGGGTTCTTTGATATGCTGAATCTAACCATGAATTTAGATTTTTTATTTGTGGGCCCCGCTATCAAATTGGTTCATATTGAGGTCAAAAGGGTCCAAAATTAAACTTTGTTTGATTTCATCAAAAATTGAATTATTGGGGTTCTTTGACATTCCAAATCTAACCGTGTATTTAGATTTTTAATTTTAAGTCCGGTTTTTTAAATTGGTCTACATTAAGGTCCAAAGGGTCCAAAATTAAACTTAGTTTGATTTTAGCAAAAATTGAATTCTTGGGGTTCTTTGATATGCTGAATCTAAACATGTGTTTAGATTTTTGATTATGGGCCCGGTTTTCAAGTTTGTCCAAGTTGGGGTCCAAAATTAAACTTTGTTTGATTTTAACAAAAATTGAATATATGGGGTTCTTTGATATGCTGAATCTAACCATGTATTTTGATTTTGGACATTGGACCATAATAGGTAAATTAAAAAAATTCAAGTTCTTAGACCACATTCTTTCTGTGTCAGAAACCTATGCTGTGTCAAATATTTAATAACAATTCAAATTCAGAGCTGTATCAAGCTTGAATGTTGTGTCCATACTTGCCCCAACTGTTCAGGGTTCGACCTCTGCGGTCGTATCAAGCTGTGCCCCAGCGAAGCATTTTATTAATTCATGAAAAGGGAGATAACCAACTTTAAATTATAATTTTACCCACAACCCCGCACAAACAAAGTTTGGGGGATATATAGGAAACATCATGTCTGTCCATCCTGCTTCTTTTCTGGTGCATAAAAAAACAATCTGATTCATCATGATAAAGGGGGATGTCATAGATCAGTAACCATGAGTCATTTTAACACAGAGGCATTAATAATATAAAATGAATAACAGAAAACCAAAAATCTCAACACAGTAGCAACTAAAATGCATGTATTAGTCCTACTTTGTGGACAGCTCTAGTTATAGAGTTAAATTTGTAATTCTGCAAATGAGTTTCTGGAAAGGGCTATACAATGTAAAATTATTTGAAAAAAATCATCTTTAAGGTACATGTAGATCAGGGGTCTTTTTCTGATCATAGTGCAAAAATACTTTTTTGGTTTAAAATATTTTACCAAGTATCAATTAATATTCAATAGAAACATGTAAACTTTGAAATCTAATGATTAAACTATCAAAAAATTAAGTGTATTTAATTTTTCAGAAAAAAACATCATTTTTAAAATCAAGGGCTGATTATAATATTGAATTTGATAGGACAATATGTGTTTTTTTGATTTCTCAAGAAAATAAGGCCCATGACCCCCTATTGTTATTTGATACATGTATTTCAGCAGTATTTATGAAAGGCAATTCTTTCATTGAATTTTAACCAATTCTATTTTAATGTTTCCTCATCAAGGAAAAATTAAGTTTCCCCTAAATAACCTATATCAAATAAGTGTGATTTCGTTAATTTCAATATAGTTTAGAAAAAACAAGGTCTGTGAGTGTGACCCTCAGTTTTTATTTTGAAATTTGATAGTACAATGACCAGAGAAGTCTTTTACAGAAGTTTAAGAAAAATCTATCGTCAAACATTTAGACACCCTAGTTACGTTAAGTTAGATAAAAATTCTAGTAATGAGATTGGATTATAAAATCAAATAAGTGTGTGATGTTTTTGGTGTGTAAAATCCTTGAGCAAGCACAACAATAAACAACTAAAACTAGGATTCAGGAAATAAGTTCACTGGAAATACCATCTAAAGTTGTTAATGTTCATGGATGTAATGTATGGGAAGCAAAATTATAGGAACATGAACAGCTGCACTGTAAAAATCCCAGGAAAAGCTGAATTGTAAAAAAAACTAGGTGTAACCATATTGTTGTTTACTTTTGCAGCTGGACTTGGCTGACATGGTATCCATTAGGAAGTTCGTAGAGGATTTTCATGAAACTGGGAAGAAATTAAATGCTCTGATCAATAATGCTGGAGTGTACATGCTACAGAAACAATGGACAAAAGATAACTTTGAGATGACTGTTGGTACAAATCATCTGGGTAAGACTTCAAATCACAATATACTACCTCCCATAGATGGATCTTTGTCTACCTGGTCCAGCTTTGTTGTTTTATATTCAGTTTATTGTACATATATATGCATTCCTCATAGATGAAAGACAATTTAATGCCATATATGAATGACATGATTAAACCTTTGGGCACACAAGTGACACGAAGACTGTAAAAAAAATCTGTCATTTAAATGACACTCTATTCCAAAACGGTACAAGGCCATTTTGGATTTAAGCTTTAATAGAAGGGCAAGACTAAAGCATCAAGGACTCAACACCCTTCTAAATTGGACTATCAAGACCACTGCATGATACTGTATCATAAGCATTAGATAATAAAGTATTATAAAGTCTCAGGGTTTTCAATAAGCACTGGCACCTGGCGATTTTTCCCCGTTTCAAATTAAGGAATTTGCAGGTTCCAATTGTGTTTCCAAATAAGAATAAAATAAATAAAACTGTTCTACGTTGCGTAATACAAGTTGTTACCGATTGAAATTGACTTTTGTCTTCGCTTCCGCTTTGTTTAGGTGTTCTCGTCGAGGACTGTGTTATAATATATTTATAGATTCTCGACAACGTTATGAAGTTGGATAAGGGACGAGACATTCGAAATGATTTTTAATGCGATCATTTGTTGTGCTTTATAAAAGGATAATTCTACATCTTAGTAAAGCGCCTTTTTGTCACAGAGTGAAAACACATGTTGACCCAAGATGACAAGTAAACAAGCAAAAAGAAAATCGACGTTGCTTGATTTCTTTACAACCCCCATAAAGAAAAAAAAGCTGGTGATATATGTTATAGTTTTAAAGTCTAACCTACTCTGAAAATTTCGATTATAAAAAAATAATCACAAAAATTTCATACAGGTTGGCCTGCAATTTTTATGCCCCCGTCGTAACGGAGGGGGCATTAAGTTTTACCCTTGTCCGTCCGTACATACGTCCCGAAGTTGGTTTCTGTTCTCTAACTTTAGTTTGCCTCAACCAAATGTTATGAAACTTATACACAATGCTTATCACCACAAAACACAGATCAAGTTTGAATTTTGGTGGAGTCACTTTAACCGTTCTAGAGTTATGCCCCTTTACAAATGGAAAAATTGCTGAATTTTTCGTATCCGTTCTCTAATTTAAGTTAGCCTTAACCAAATATTATGAAACTTATACACAATGCTAATCACCACAAAATACAGATCAAGTTTGAATTTTTGGTGGTTTCACTTTTACTGTTCTAGAGTTATGCCCCTTTTCAAATGGAAAAATTGCTGAATTTTTCGTTTCTGTTTACTTAAGTTTGCCTCAACCAAATGTTATGAAACTTATACACAATACTTTTTACCTCAAAACTCAGATCAATTACAAATTTGGGTAGCGTCACTTTTACCGTTCGTCAGTTATGTCGAAAAAGCAAAAAATTGAATATAAATTCTAATCATATAACCAATTCTTAGTTCTTTGACTACAGTTATTCTGTGTCAGAAACCTATAATGTGTCAAATGTTGAATTACAATCCAAATTCAGACCTGTACCAAGCGCGAATATTTTGTCCATTTTTGCCCCAACTGTTCATGGTTGGACCTCTGCGGTCGTATCCAGCTGCGCTCCGCAAAGCAATTTATTATGCATGTTATTTTTTTCAAGTTTTCATTTCTTCACAAAATTTAAATTTATGTTTTGCTAGGCTAGGAAAAATACTGCCTTAATTTCTTCATGGTTAGAATCAATTATTTTTGTGTGTTTTGACTGGTACCTTTAAAATCCAGGTTTTGAGGTTATTTCTTGTTTACTGCACTTGATTGCATTGAATTCTTGGTAATGGACCTTTGGTTGATTATGACCCATCAGCTGCTTTCTTACTTTTTTTTTTTAAATATCTGCCAATATGATTGATTACAAAGTACAATTAAGATTATTATTAATATCAAAATATTTTTATTTGATAAGCAATATCACAACTTACTAATAAGATTAAACTTACTAAAACAAAAGCCTATGAAACCTCATTTTTTATGAACTTGTAAACAGTCTGAAAATGCCTCAGAATTTACCATTTTCAATGTAAGTCAACCCCCCCCCCCCTCCCCCTCCCCCCCCATCTACTATCAGCCACTTCAAATTAGAAAACAGCCTGTTCACTTCAAACTTATTGACAATGGAGAGTATGAGTGATAGCATTTCAGCTGCTTGTATGTGGGGCTTAATCCCATTTGTCATGCTGCAGTGAATTCAGAGAGCATTACATTACATAAGTGGAACCTTATGTTGATCTTGGAAGTTATTCTTTTACAGGGCCGTTTTTACTGACCAATCTGTTGCTGGATGATCTAAAGAAAACAGCCAGTGAAGCAGGAGAAGCTAGGATAGTCAATGTCACTTCTTCTCTCCATGACAGAGCATTAAAAATCAGGAAAGGTGAGTTGCAGTATGGAGCCAGCTGTATTATCAGGGGTTGTCAATATTGTTTCTTTGCACGTTGAAGCAGTAGAAAAATGAAAAAGTTGTCACGAGGGTTGTAAGTGTCACTTGACAATCCAGTATTGTCTTTGTTTCTAGAAAGGTTACTAGTTGTAATGGAAAGCAAACATTAAACATTTATATTTGCTTGTCATGACTGATAATTGTATATAAATGACTTGGTTAAAAGATCAGATGAAAAAAGAATGAAGATCAGTCAATTCCAGACATTATTGTATTCTGTTGTGCCTTCATCTGTCTGGCATACACATATCAAAAAATTAACTCCAGCATACTTCGAGCAATCTACATACATCAAGCTTTACCAGATTAGGAAAAGTGGTCTGATCATGTGAGGCACTCTACACTTTTTGAATACCAGTCAACCTCTGAAGCGGAAAATGCAGGTCATGACCTGCATTGAAGAAGAAAATGTCAGGTCATAACGCGTATGAAATTTTTCATTCCAATTTTAGTATTGAGAGTTTTTTTTATATACTTTAACATATATACATGTACCACTGAGTTCCCTAAAAATAATCACTTTTGTATTTGTTAAGTATATAAATATTTATCATTAATTAAATATCTTTCTAAAGCAATGCCCTTTTATTGTTTTATTCACACTAGTTTACTTCTTTTTATTAATGAATGTCATAAACCCCAGCTATACATATAATTAAAAATCAATTATAGCTAATGTGCTCCTATACACAGGAGGAAAATAAATAGAAAGAAGTTAGTGTGTTTCCTTTCAGTGTGTAATATCTAGAGCATATGGATTTGATTAAAAGCTTTTACATTTAAGTGATAACAAAAGTTATTTTTCAATCAGATGTAATGGTTTGATAGCTGTCATTGGCATGGTAAATAAGCAAATTCTAATTTCAAATGTTTACCTTCTCAAATGAAAAACGCAGAGAAAACCAAAAGTATATTTGACTTCTAAATATGTTAAGTTTTTTTTGGTTAAGTCTCTTTCTTAGATACTATAAGCAACAGGTCCACTTTATTTGGTGTATTGAATGATTATAAGGGGTACATGTCAGTCAGGCAGGTTTTTCATGGTTCGTTGGTCAATATTAAATTTTCCTGGTTAAGTCTGTGTTTTAGATAATATTAGTAATAGGTCAACAATACTTGGAGCGTGGAATGATTGTAAGGTGTACATGTCTGTCTGGCATGTATTTTCTGACCTTGACTTAATTGTCATGGTTCATTAGTCAATGTCAAGTTTTCCTAGTTAAGTCCTTTTCTTAGATACTATAACTAAATCATGTAGGTCAACTTTTTTTGGTGAAGGGAGTGATTGTAAGGTGTACATGTATGTCTGGCTTGTGTATCTGACCTTGACCTCATTGTCATGGATCATTGATAATGTGAAGTTTATGTGATACTTGTAGTTAATTTTTATCTTTAAGACTATCAACATAAAATCAATCATGTTCAGTAAAGCAGGCAATACATTTCAGTGTTTGGCAATTTTGATACATGTTAGTTCCAATGACTACAAAGTATGCGAGACAAATTTTAATCATAAGTTAAACATATATGCTTATATCTGAAAGTACAGAACTCAGTTAGTGGAAAACAAAAAGGACTTGAGACCTAAATTAAGCCTGATAATGAATTGATGTCATATTTCAGCACCTGAGATGTTGTCCACTGAAGACTTTTTCCTTGACAAGGAAGGGGCTTATACTCCTGAGCAAAGTTACAGAAATTCCAAACTTTGTAATGTCTTGATGACACAAAGTCTGTCTAAACAGCTGGATGGCACTGGGGTCACCTGTAACTGTGTCTGTCCAGGTGAGTTTACTAAACCATAGCAGCCCACAATGTTAATTCTCACATTAATTTTACACCAATAGAAACAAAAAAAAACATAGCCAATTAAAAAAGATTGAAAATTTGTAAAATAAAGAATTTTCATTCAACAACAAAAAAATCAATAAATTTATCGGAGAAAATAATAAATGCATGTATGAGTCAAAGAAAATAAAGTTAGGTCAGGAAACAATAGGATCAACACACAAGTTTGTTTTAAAAGTAATTTGAGATTTCACATTGGTCAACATTTAAATTGGGTCAACATTAAGACTAGATTCAGAATTTTTTTTTCTGCCGAAGGATATGTCATTGCAACATTCTAAGTGTTCCAGTCTTAATCACCAAAGATCTATTTAGAATTCAATGGTTTCATATGAAATAGTGAATTAAGTAGCTCTGTGCACATGGTGTATGCTTATTGTAAACAAATCTCTGAACTGTTTAATCAATACTCATGAAAAGTGAATCAGGGAAACAAACTTATTTTGTTTGAAAAAAAAACTCTGTTGTAATGTACTTTTTTGAGCCCTTCAGGCTGACTCTGTGTCATTTCTCTGGATTTTTAAGATAAAACATAATTTAAAGGCATATAATAAAATCAGGCATGTGTATTCACATCGTTATTGAACTGTTGTCTATGCTTCATTGAAGTAACAAATACTGTATGAATGATTATTAAAGTCAGATTGCTGGCATAGAGCATCAGCGATGCTTTGGTTAAAAGTTTACTCTATTTTTGTAATCAGTTCATTTTGTTCAGGCTTTGTAACTTATAATTAATCGGATTTTCGAAGGAAATATCTGTTATTGATTTGGGGATGTACGGCGGAAGGCTGCCAAACAGTGTCCGTTCATTAACATGAAAACGTTTTGACAAAATTTTTTCAAATTTAGATATGTTGTTTCCTGTGACTAAATGAAGGTCAAGTTCAATTTTCACGATTTCAGCTTTACTCGTTATTGAGTTATATCCCTTTCCCAAGAATTCAATTTTTGATGAAATATTTATTAATTACTCCATTTCTGTTCAAAGGGAAATAACTCATTTTTTTATACGACTGCAAAAAAATTTTTGTGGTCGTATATTGGTATGACGTTGGCGTCGTCGTCGTCCGAAGACACATTGGTTTTTGCACTCTAACTTTAGTTTAAGTGAATGGATCTCTATGAAATTTTACCACAAGGTTCAATACCACAAAAGGAAGGTTGGGATTGATTTTGGGGGTTATGGTACCAACAGTTAAGGAAAAAGGGGCCAAAAATAAGCATTTTTGTAACTTCCAGACATAACTTGTGTGTTAGTGTATGGATCTCTCTGACATTGTACCACAAGGTTCCATATCACAAAAGGAATGCTGGGATTGATTTAAGGGGTAATTGCCTCAAAATTTTAGGAATTAGGGGCAAAAAAAGGGGCAAAAACAGGCATTTTTCTAGTTTCATGACAATAACTTGTGTTTAAGTGTATCGATCTTTATGAAATTGTACTTCAAGGTTCCATATCACAAAGGGAAAGCTGGAATTGAGTTTGGGGGTAAATGCCCAAAACGTTGAGGAATAAGGGGCCAAAAAGGGGCCAAAAATAAGCATTTTTCTAGTTTCCAGACGATAACTTGTGTTCAAGTGTATGGTCCAATGGATCTCTCTGAAATTGTACTGCAAGGTACCATACCACAAAGGGAAGGCTGGGATTTATTTTGGGGGTAATGCCCTCAAAGTTTTAGGAATTCGGGCCATAAAGGGGCAAAAAAACAAGCATTTTTCTAGTTTCAGGACAATAACTTGTGTGAAAGTGTATGGATCTTAATGAAAATGTACTGCAAGGTTCCATATCACAAAGGAAAAGCTGGGTTTGAGTTTGGGGGTAATTGCCCTAAACGTTTAGGAATTTGGGGCCAAAAAGGGGCCAAAAAACAAGCATTTTTCCAGTTTCCAGACAATAACTTGTGTTCAAGTGTATGGATCTCTCTGAAATTGTACTGCAAGGTACCATACCACAAAGGGAAGGCTGGGATTAAGTTTGGGGGTGATGAATCATAAGGGGGTTCAAAAAAATTGGGGGGGGATTTTTTTCCCCTTTTTTTTCTTTAAAATTTTCAATTTTAAATTGGTTATTTCTGATTTATATATAAAAGCAAATAATAATGATATGGTTTGAATAGGTAAATTAAAAAATTTTAAGTTCTTAGACCAGACCACATTCATTCTGTGTCAGAAACCTATGCTGTGTCAAATATTTAATTAGAATCCAAATTCAGTGCTGTATCAAGCTTGAATGTTGTGTCCATACTTGCCCCAACTGTTCAGGGTTCGACCTCTGCGGTCGTATCAAGCTGCGCCTCAGCGGAGCATTTTATTAAAATTGGAGTTATCTTCCTTTGTCCATGATTATAGTTGAATCAACTACAATCAATGCTTTATACAATGCAATGTTTAATTTTGACTTCCACTGATAAAACACAGATTAAGTTGAATTTCGGTAGTGTCGCTTAAACCATTATTGAGTTATGTCCCTTTATAAATCGAAAGATTGCAAAATTTTTAGTTTCCATTCTGTAACTTTAGTTTGCCCCAACCAAACATTATGAAACCTATACACAATATTCATTACCACAAAACTAAGATCAAGTACAAATTTTTTGTTTCTGTTTTCTAACTTTATACACAATGCTTATTACTACATAATACAGATTGAGTACGAAATTTGGTGGCGACACTTTTACCATTCTTGAGTTATGTCCCTTTATAAACATAAAAATTGCTGATTTTTTTGTTTCCGTTTTCTAACTTTAGTTTGTCTCAACCAAATGTTATAAAACTTATACACAACCGTTCTAGAGTTATGCGTGTTTATAACAAATAGAAAAATTGCTGAATTTTTAGTTTCTGTTCTCTACTTAAGTTAGCCTCAACCAAATGTTATGAGACTTACACACAATGCTTATTACCACAAAACTCAGATTAAGTTCAAATTTGGGTAGCGTCACTTTTACCGTTCTTCAGTTATGTCCCTTTATAACTATATGATATGCAAGCGGGGGCATCATCTGTGTCCACATGTGGACACTATCCACATTTCTTTTTCTTTCTTTGGTAAATTGTTTGAAGAATTTTGTGGTAGGTTTGTTTGTTATTAAGTATAAACAAATTTTCTGAATGCTATATATAATTTTTTTTTATGAAGTGAACTCCATTAATTAGATAATAATCTATTTTTATTAAAGGATATATTGCATTACATTACATTGTGTAGATAAAGTTGTTGACATTGATAGATAAGTTGCAGATCTATATTAGTTTGTGAAAAATGAAAGAAAAAATATTTGGAACTATTAATTATATTTGATTATAATTTGAAAGTAGATATACATTGTGTAACATCATATCTAATTTTAGAGAACCATTTTTAGTGGTTAAATTATATCTAATTTTCAAGAACTATGTTGGCTTTATTAGTTAAATCATTTCTGTTCAAAGGGAAATAACTCAAACTTATTCCATGAACCAGTAATGATAACATAAGTATATGGATTCTGTTCAATTAATTTTAGTCATTAGTTTTCAAAATTTCTTTATAACTATTTTTTTAAGTCATGTGTGTTATGAAGGTAGATGTCACAGTTGTTATGTGGTATTTTATTTTTGTTGTGTGTGTTAATGTTTAATTTTTACATGATCCTGTTTGGGGGTTCAGATTTGCAAATATCATTTTCATTATTAATTAGATAATAATCTATTTTAAATATTCAATCACAATCCAAATTCAGAGCTGTTTTAAGCTTAAATGTTGTGTCCATACTTGCTCAACTGTTCAGGGTTTGACCTCTGCAGGAAAATCAGGTTTGCTGTCACTCGACAGCTTCTTGTTTTATTTTATTTTGAGTTATGCATTTCCATTCTGTGTCATGTATGTGCATGGTCTTCAACAAGAAACTGGTAGATATTATCAATGAAAAAAAAGAAGCAAAACAATTGTTTTTCTCACTTTTTCAGGAATGGTGAAGGACTCAGAACTGATGAGACAAGCTGGGGCTGTTAAAAGGTTCTTCCTGAAGTATTTTGCGAACACTTTAATGAAGTTGAGAATAAGATCTATACCAGCTCATTCCTTGGAGGAAGGTGGCAGATGTTTGGTAGATTTGGCTATCAGCGAAGAACAAAAAGGTAAAATAAGTAAGGGCTACCCAAATTAAGACTTTTTCAAATATATCTGTAGTGATAAGATAAAAATATGGACTTTGAGACCAAGTTTTATCCCAATAGTGTCAAGGGGTTTGCTTGATTTACTGTCTGCATTGTTGTCTGTTTCACACTATAAGCTAATCCACAATGCTTTGATCCTTGATAAATGGCTTGACAGAATTGACTTAAAATTCCACATATTCTTTAGAAGACAGAAAGATGATTTGTAAGGTTTTTTTTTTAGTTTTCCAATTCCATAACAAGGAATAAGCCATTTCAGGTGATATTAGTTATTTTCCAACTCCCTAAAAAAAGCTTGGCAGAATTCCATTATTCTTCATCAGAACATACTGTTGTGCATCTGTAAGTTAAATTTCTTCTATTTTTTAGGGGTCTGTTCCCATAAATAAATTTGTACTTTACTTAGCAATTTCTTCTTTTTGTGTGTGTAAAGCTAAAGCGATACATAGAGATCACTTCTGTAGTCTTGCAATATGGTAGTCAACCTACATAGTTAGTGTGTCACTTTGTTAATATGGAAATTCTTGAAAACAGGTGGACAGAATTCAACCATACTTATACAAATTTTTCTACAGAATATAAAATTATGCATTTGCTGTCGTATATTGGTATCACGTCGTCGTCAGCGTCGTCTGAAGACAGTTGGTTTCCGGACAATAACTTTAGTATAATTAAATAGAAATCTATGAAATTTAAACACAAGGTTTATAACCACAAAAGGAAGATTTTGATTTTGGGGGTTATGGTCCTAACAGTTTGGGAATTAGGGGCCCAAATAAGCATTTTGATACGATCGTATATTGGTATGACGTTAACGTTGGCGTCGTCGTCAGAAGACACATTCGTTTTCGCACAATAACTTTAGTTTAAGTGAATGGATCACTATGAAATTTTACCATAAGGTTCAATACCACAAAAGGAAGGTTGGGATTGATTTTGGGGGTTATGGTACCAACAGTTAAGGAATTAGGGGCCAAAAATAAGCATTTTTCTAGTTTCCAGACAATAACTTGTGGAACAGTGTATGGATCTCTCTGAAATTATACCACAAGTTTCCATACCACAAAGGGATGGTTAGGGTTTGCTTTGGGGGGTTATGGCTCAAACCGTTTAGGAGTTAGGGGCAAAAAAGGGGGAAAAACAAGGGTTTCTTGGTTAAGGGACAATTACTTAAGACAATTTAAAAGCAGTGTAAGGGAGGTAATCCAAACACAACATTTTGATTACCTCCCTTACACTGCTTTTTAATTATGTATAAAGAAATGTTGTATTTTCTTGAGATGATTAGCTGTCAATTTATTTTTAGAAGTTACTATTAAGGAATATTAATTTTAGCCATTACTATGTATGTCATTTTTGTCGAGCCTTCGATTTTTGTCAAAAAAGCGAGACATAGCGATCCTACATTCCGTCGGCGTTGTCGGCAGCGTCCACAATTATTCACTCTGTGGTTAAAGTTTTTGAAATTTTAATAACTTTCTTAAACTATCCTGGATTTCTACCAAACTTGGACAGAAGCTTGTTTATGATAATAAGATAATATCTAAAAGAAAATTTTGTAAAAAAAAAATTCCATTTTTTCTGTATTTTACTTATAAATGGACTTAGTTTTTCTGCCAGGAAACATAACATTCACTCTGTGGTTAAAGTTTTTTAAATTTTAACAACTTTCTTAAACTATCTTGGATTTGTACCAAACTTGGACAGAAGCTTGTTTATGATTAAAAGCTAGTATCTAGAAGGAAATTTTGTTAAAATTTTGTTCCATTTTTTCCGTATTTTACTTATAAATACACTTAGTTTTTCTTCCAGTTAACATTACATACAGTCTGCAGTTAAAGTTTTTAAAACATTTATTAGATTCATAAACTATCCTGGATTTTTACCAAACTTGGACAGAAGCTACTTACAATCAAAAGATAGTATAGAGAGGAATATTTTTATTAATTTTTTTCCTCATTTTTGTTGAGCCTGCAATTAACAGCAAAAGTAGCCAAGATTATGTATGTCAATTTCTATTTTAAGACTTTTATGATGTATTTAAATGGATAATTATGGTTGCAAACTCCATTGGAAACTTGAATTGACCATATCTTGAGGGAAAGAATTTTTTTGGGGGAAAAAAAGGGGGGGGGCGTAAAAAGAAATTGTGGGGGTCAAGTTTTTCTGATTTTGCAAAAAAAAAGTGTGTGTGGGGGGGGGGGTCAATACGCAACATATCAAGCGCGAATATTGTGTCCATTTTTGCCCCAACTGTTCAGGGTTGTATCCAGCTGCACTCTGCGAAGCAATTTAATCAATTTTTAATCCATGTGAATTTGGGGGATTATCCTGTACCATACCATGGTCTTTGCCATTTCTGATTCTATTATTTCTATTGAAGACTCAACTTCTATAAAATGTGTGCCTTTACAGGTGTTACTGGGAAGTTTTTCAGTAATTTTGAAGAGAAGAAGTCTTCAGATGACTCTTTGGATGAGGAATTACAGAAGAATGTATATGAGTTGAGTGCACGTTACTGTCACCTTGAGGGTTATGAACCTCTTGATGCCCCTGCTCCACCACCCCCAGAGGAGAAACCTAAGAGTAAAAGAAAGTCCAAGAAGGGCAAAGCAGCTGATGAGACAGAGATTGAGGACAAAGGTGAAGAAAAGAAGGATGGAGAAGAGAAAAAAGGTTTGTTCTAGTATCAATTCTATGTATGTTAAAAGTCAAGTCTGGTCAAGTGCCAATTTACTCTACCTATTAGCAGGGCTTCCAAAAAATATTTGAGCCAGCTGGACATTTTTTGTCTTATCCCAATTTCATTCCCTTAAGACTTTGTAAGAAAATGCAAGCATTTTAATCAGTTGGGCATCATATAAACAATGATTGACACAAAAACAATTTTAATTTGACTTTTGATATAAATTCGATGTTCTGACATAAACTGTTCAATTGATGGTGCATCATTCAAAGTGTGCAACATCAGCGTACTAATATCTGCCTTAGACTCTTTATTTGTGGAAAATTACACTGTCAACAACTTGGCTTTCGATTTAAAAAAAAACACATTTTTTCGAATACCGGATGTTGACTTGACAATGGTAAAACATGAACCAGAGACGTATACCCAAAGTCCTTGTATGTTTACAAAGCACGATTGAGTTTAAGTGCCTCTTTCATTGTTATTTCTTTAGGAAAATACTCGAAATGAACTTTATTAATGGTATAAATGATATTTTTTATCATATTTGAAAAATTCGGATGCATAATTAAACCTTACACACTAGTTCAAACAACGTTGTTCTGACGATTTTTGACGATTTTTCACTTACAACCTTTATTACTACCTGTTTAAATTTTTCATCAAATTATGTTCATATACATATTTCTGATAATCTAAATCTTTTTGACTAAATAGATTAGATGCTTACCGCTGAAATTTAAATAAATAGACCGATCAATGTCGGGTTGCTTGTAAATTATGATCTTATTGTTTTAAATACGTTTTTTTGATAGTCTAAATCTATTTTGCATATAAGTAGTTAGATTTAAACCAGGAATGTTTTTAATTTGAATAAAAAAATAACTTCCAAAAAGATCGATTTATGTCCGGTACAAATAGTTTACCTGACACAGGTGATCACAGGTAAATCTCACCTGTTAGACACTTAATTAACCTTGATTGTAAAGAGAGTGGATTATAGTAGGGCTTGGTTATAGAGTACTGTCACTTTTATGAAAGGAAAAGTGTGGCTGTTTAAGACACAAGGTCAAGTCAAAATGGTTGATTTTTCTGAAGCACATGCACGTTGAAATGGCAAACCCATGTAGGATGTCCATTTCATGCTTGTCCCAGTCGGACATATGTCCGATAAATTTATATTTGTCCGGCAAAAACTGACCATTTTGGAAGCCTTGTCTGTTAATGGGAAATCAACATACCTAAAGAGCAGAATTACAATAGTAACTTGTTGGCAGTGTACAGTTATATTATTCAGCTGAGTTTTCAGAGTACTGACTGTAGGAATAGGTTATATATGGAAACTTGTAAAAACTTCTATGATAACTTCTATTTTGCTGATATAAAAATAAGGAGATGTGGTATGATTGCCAATGAGTTAACTATCCACCAAAGTTCAAATGAAGTGGATGTAAGCAATTAGAGGCAACCGTACGGTCTTCAACAATGAGAAAAACCCATACCATATGGTCGGCTATAAAAATATACTTTATTAGACAAAACCTAGTTAGTCTGTCTGACTGTAATAAACAGTTATATAGAATAAGAATGATCAATCCCTTTCTTCTTGTAGATACATTAAACACATCAGATGGTATAGAATGATCAATCCCTTTCTTCTTGTAGATACATTAAACACATCAGATGGTATAGAATGATCAATCCCTTTCTTCTTGTAGATACATTAAACACATCAGATGGTATAGAATGATCAATCCCTTTCTTCTTGTAGATACATTAAACACATCAGATGGTATAGAATGATCAATCCCTTTCTTCTTGTAGATACATTAAACACATCAGATGGTATAGAATGATCAATCCCTTTCTTCTTGTAGATACATTAAACACATCAGATGGTATAGAATGATCAATCCCTTTCTTCTTGTAGATACATTAAACACATCAGATGGTATACAGTATGCTGATGCTGATACTTCTAAAGTAGAAGAAGGAAAGAAAGCTTTAGAAGAGAAAACTGGAGAGAAGGTTGAAACCACAGAAGATGAACCAAAAGTTGATGAAAAAGGAGATGCTGACAAACCTAAAGAACTTGAACCAGAAGATAAAGAAATAAAAAAAACAGATGATTCTGCTGTCATAGAGACCCAGGCAGAGGTTACTGCACAGTAAGACTCTTGTTGCCATAGTTACGGTTACCAGTGCTAAGGCAGTGTTACTATGTTGTTACTGACATATACAATGCAATTTATGTTTTGTGCCACTGCTGTGACTTAGTAATATTATCTATTGAATAATATGTAGTCATTTTAAATTGTCATTTTATTATGCTGTTCACTTTTAGTATGTCTTAGGTTTACATATAAAAGAACTATAGATGGTTGCTAACCTTTCACAAGTTATAAAAGGGGGGTAATAAATGGTTTTTAAGAGAGAGAAAAGAGAAGGTATGAATTTGGGATGTGTTTGACATTGTTTTCTGGTTTTTTATTCATTCCAATGCTCTTACTTTGCAAATAATTGAAAGATGACATTAAGATGTATTCATTTTGTGCATGCATTGTCATGTTAACAAGATATATAAGACAACAACAGTTTTCAACATGAATCATTACAGTTGATGCCAGTTTAGGTAAAACAGGGACATTTAAATGCAAAATGTACCTTCTCCCTAATTATGGTAAAGAACAACTAATGACCAGTATCTGATTATCACTATTCTATATCATGTATATAGACATACTTTAAAAGGTAAAACAAAAACAGTAAGTGTTGCTTTTGGAAAGTTGTTTTTTTTGCTTTATTATTTTGTGTGCCATTGTTGATATTTTGAATTTAAAACAAAAAATGTTTTTGAAATAAGTCATAATTTTGAATGACTGAATCTTAACATTAAACACTATAGATTTGTAAGTTGATTTTTAATTCACAGTCAAAGGCCTTTTAAGAATGTATTTCAAAAAAGGAAGAGACACTGGGTCAAAATAGATGGTTGACATCTTTAGAATTAAGGTGATGTGCTATGTTTATATACAAATATAGTCAAAACACAATAAACATGTAATGATTGAACAAAGAATCAAATAATTATTGAGTTGAAACAAACCTAAATTTGGATAAGTGCCTGGAAGCTAAGAAAAACAAGTTTTATTTTTTTATATTATAGAATGAAATATTACTGATGAATAGGAGTATGTATCTCATTTTTTTATATGGTATTTTATTTATACAAATTTATTTTCTAATGAAATGCTGTTTTATTCAGTTATGTATTATTTTAATGTGGCATTATGTTTATGTATATGCATATTTTTTGTATTTATTCCCTTTACTTAACACATTCATGAACAGGGTATATTAAATTATTCATCATTTACCTCTATATAACATCACCCCTTTATCACTTCCAAACTTATTAATCTAAATCTAGTTTGAAACAAATTACTTTTTTTTTGCTGCTGAATAGCGCTGGTTTTTGACAGTAGAGCTTTTTTGGCTGCTGAATAGCGCTGGTTTTTGACAGGAGAGATTTTTTGGCTGCTGAATAGCGCTGGTTTTTGACAGTAGAGCTATGGAGAAAAGGAAAGAGAAATGTGCTTGGCTTTTGAGATGCAAACGTTCTGTGTCAAGTTTAATAAAAAATTTGTTTGAAGAAATTATATGAGTAGATTAAAAATTTATGTTAGACAAATATTCTGTGCAAATAAGAATGGACTACAAGAACTATTCCTTGCTTTTTATCACCACCCACTCCAAAAAAAAAACCCAAAAAGTGTTTAACATCTGAGTTATACCAGTTATTCATATAAATGACAAACATATTATCAGATAAAATTGCTTTTTATTGGCATTATCATTTTTATCATCTTTTATACACCTTACATTTCATTAAACCAATCAAATTATTTTATTATTATTGTATACTATATTTTTTTATATAACAAGTGTTCAATTTATTTTAATTTACGCATAATTTTATTAAAGGTGCTAAATACAACCATTTTACTGTATCTAAAACATATTTTGTTTATTGTAAACTATTTTATGGTGTTTTGCAATATTTAAGTTTTATACACAAAAAGTCCTGTTTTCATCGTATTGTTCAATTCTATAAATTTCTTGCCCATTATAATTAAAATTGTATCAAATTTAGTTGCAATATATAAGCTAATGTGTTCTCTCTATGTTAAATTTGTATTCTAGTCAGTGAAAGCAGTCAAACAAGAGTCAATTTGATTTAGTTACCAACACTTTCCTATACAATAACATTTATCTATAAAGTACTCCATTTATAATTGATAGAAATTAAATTCATGGTAATATTTTATCTAGGTCAATAAAAACATGGTTGCTTTTAGTATTATAAAGAGTTATAAACATCAATATTCTGATGTATTTTGCATTTTTTTTGTACTGCAATCAATTTTGTTATACTATATGCCAGTATTTTGTATACCATGCTAGCATTTAAGTTTTGTATAGGGCTTTTATTTATTGTTCTGTATAATGTATACAATTTGATGCCATATAATGGATCTGCTTTTGTAATATTGTAGTCTGTATTAGGAAGAAAACATGACATAGGAGGAGTAAAGATATAAGTGTATTATAAAGACACTGTTTACTTGATATCAATCAGGAAATTAAATTCTAAATAGAATAAAAAGTAAGAGAAATATGGAATTGTAGTACTGTAAAACAAGTTGAAATTTGAGGTTTTGACTTTCATACATTTCTCCCTCATGTTGTGATTTGTATGTAAGAACTGTCTACCTGCCACAAACAGTGATTATTTCTACATTATTGGATAGAAGAGTTGATTTTAGTACTGCATGAAATATTTCTAAGTATGTTTTTAACTGACAGGTTGTATATAATGCTAGGACAAGTATTATTGAGAAGGTTGTAGAAAGTGTTCACATTGATAGATGATACACATCAATATGTAGGACATGTTAAAGGGATGTATCAGTGTTCTTTTGTAAAGTGACAATAAAATGTTTTAAACCTTGTATGACTTAACCTGCTATATATCCCCACAGAAGAAACTAGTATGAGACAGTCTGATCTGACCATTTTTCCATACTTTGTTTGATAATGATCCATCTTACTCCTTTGGGCAAATTTTTGATTTCTGAATAAAATCTGTTGACCTTTTAGTCCAAACTTTTCCAAATATGGTTTGATAATGCCACATGGGGTGGTTAAGACCCTTATTGATTATGAGGTCTCTAGGTCAGGGCTGATATCTTTTGAACAAACTGTCCAACCTTCACCAAACAGCTTTAAAATTCTCCTTTACAAGAACCAGCACCCTTTTTTTTTTTAGCTCACCTGGCCCTATGTGCCAAGTGAGCTTTTCTCATCACTTGGCGTCTGTCGTCCATTAATTTTTATAAATCAAAGAGATTCAAGCTCTGAGGGAAAAGACAGTCATTGTTTCTATTTTTTTGGGGGGTATCTTATGATAGTCAATTGAAGTAAATTGTTGTTTCATGCAATTTCATTTCCTCAGTCAAGAACTCATCAGGAAGTCAATTTGAACAAATGAAAGAGATCAGCACCTTCCAAATAAAAATATTTAACTACAGGCTTAATAAGCAGACAATAATTAATAATTATGCTGGACAAAATGAATTTAGTAGCATATTTTTTTCAAGTAAGAATAAATGCTCAGTATTGGCAATATGAATTGGAGAGCATTTCATAAAGGTGTAAATTGGAAGCAGTGTAAATGCTGTCTAGACAACAAGGTTTCATTTATTAAATGTCTATCTGTGACAGCTTTGTGATATAGCATAAAGTATACATATACACTGTGATTATAAATTATTCTAGAAATAATATATTTCAATCTCAATGTGGTCCAATCTATATTTAAGAACCAGACATGACAGCGTATTTGTACATCCCGCACAGCCAAGCAGACGCCCCACTTTGACAAGGGTTTTATTGTAGATAGGATGGAGACCAAGTGGAAAAAAGCTAGTTGAAAGCCAACAACTAATAAAAAAAATCATGTATCTAAGAATAAAATGTCAGGGTTTTGAGCATGTTGAGGCTCATTCGAGTATTTGTTGGTAGAAGTGAAATGATATGAACCAAAGTTATAGTTTTAGTTTCTATTTAAGGTGGAATATAATGTACATACAATTAGGTGTAGGCACATGCCTAAAGTGACTAATGGCAGCTACACCCCTGCCAGGCTTGTAAAACTTCTTTCAGGCCTGTAAAAACTAAAATTTTCTTAAAATTCAGCTTCAGACCTTAAGATTTTAAAGTCTATTGTGAAGACTGCAGGTGTCGAAAGTTGCAGAATCCAAGACATAGGGATTACAATCCAGCGGCAGCCACGGCATAAAATATTTGCATATAAAGCTTTATATTTGAGAAGGTAGAAGACCTGGATGCTTCATACCTTGTATGCAAATGCCTTATATTCTTACATTAAGAAGTTTCCTGTCTGTCATATATCTATAGCCATTTTCATGGTTAAGCAATTGCTTGATTTTTTTTAGTCCCCTATTGATGAATGTCGGGTTTGCACTCCGTCCATCTGTCTATCTGTCCATCCTTCAGTCCGGCAAATCAGTTTTCCACATTTTTTTCCTTCGTCCTTGAAGATATTGATTTGATATTTGGTATATAGTTTTATCATGACCAGTTACAGATCAAAGTTTGATTTTTGTTCCGGTCTGATGATTTTGTACAGAGTTATGGTCCTTGGAATTAACTCAAGTAATCAGTTTTCTGCACATTTTATTTGTCATGCTTGATATTTGGTTTATAGTTTACCACGACAGGTTACAGATCAAGCTCGAATTTTGTTCCGATCTGATAATTTTTTTGCAGAGTTATGTTCCTATGATTTAGATAATTCAGGCAAGTAATCAGTTTTCCCCATTTTGTTTCATTATACTTGTCATTATACTTGAAGATATTGATTTGGTATTTGGTATATAATTTTAAAATGACAAGTTACAGATCAAGTTTGAATTTTGTTCGGTTCGGATGATTTTCTTTTGCAGCGTTATGGTCCTCGAACTTAGAAAATTCATGTGAATAATTAGTTTTCCACACTTTTTTTTGTCATACTTGAAGATTTTTATTTTATATTCATTATATAGTTTGACCATGTTAACACCAGGACAAGTTATAGATCAAGTTAGCTGTTCCAGTGCAATGAATTTTTAACTGGTAAGGGACTATGTACATGTATTGCCATGCAATACTCTCAGAATGCTTGTTTTACTAGTAGTTGTTTTGTCGCTGTGAAATACTCCCTTAGTATGAGTTATAGGGTAACTTTATGTGGTATATTGGATGCTTGCAAGTTCTACATATATCCGTCAGACATTGTTCACCTGACCTCAACCTCATTTCATAGATCAGTGATCAATGTTAATTTTTCGTGGTTAAGTCCGTATTTCAGATACTAGAAGCAATAGGTCATCTAAATTTGGTGTGTGGAATGACTGAAAGGTGTACATGTTCGACTGTCAGGTTCATCTGAACTTGACCTCATTTTCATGGTTCATTTGTCAATGTTAAGTTTTTGTGGTTTGGTCTGTTTCTCAGATACTATAAGCAAAAAGTTAGCTGTATTTGGTGTATGGAATGAATCTAAGGTGTATATTTCCATCTGACTGGTTTCATCTGACCTTGACCTTTTTTGGATTCATTGGACAATGTTTTAAGTTTTTCCTGTTTGGGCTCTATCTATGATATTATAAGCCATAAGGTCACTATATTTGGTATATATCATGGAATGATTGTTAGGTAGTCATGTCTGTCTGGCAAGTTTTCATGGTTTTGTCCGTTTATCAAATGGTCAACTATATTTGTTGTAAGGAATGATTGTAAGGTGTACATGTTTGTCTGGTAAGGTTCATAAGACCTTGACCTCATTTTCATGGTTCATTTATTTAGTCAATGTTCAATTTTGGCAGTCATGTTTATTTCTCTGGCCCTTTGGCTTAAAGTATTTAAGTATGTGCAATATGCCAACTTTTATTTATTTGGTGTATGGTATGAAATTTAATTTAATCAAGTAAAGCAGGCGAGACAGCATGTGCACTCTTGTTGTCATTTTAGTTGCATTATATTCGAAGTCGAAGTATGTCCAGGCAGTGCACGATGTTTTATCGATATTGTCAACATCGCAATGTCTACTTTTTCGTTTCATTATTGTGTTTACATTGTATTCTATCTATATATATATATATATACCTTTGTGTTTACATCGTTCACATCGTATATATCGTGATGTTGACAATATCGTGTCAACATCGTGTTTATGTTGTATATAGAGTCTATAACTTTCTGTTTACATCGTTCTCAACGTATACATCGCAATGTTAACAATATCGTACCAACATCGTGTTTATATTGAATATGGAGTCTATACCTTTGTGTTTACATCGTTCACATCGTATACATCGTGATGTTGACAATATCGTGTTTAGGGAGCTACCATTTGATTTTTATGGGTGGGCTAGGATGAAATTTGAAAAAAAAAGGCAGGACAGGAGTTTAGAGAAAAAAAAAGGCAGGATGAGACACTTTGCAAAAAAAAAAGGCAGGATGACAATTTATGCAAAAAAAAGTCAGGATAAACTAAAAAAAAAAAGGCAGGACCGAATAGAGTGAAAAATAAAAAGGCAGGACAGAGATTACGACAAAAAAAATATGCAGGACAAAATTGTTCATCCTAGCCCCCCCCCCCCCCCCCCCCCATAAAATTCAAATGGCAGCTCCCTTACATTGTTCACATCGTCAACATTGTATTAATATTGTGTATCCAGTCTATACCTTTGTGTTTACATCGTTCACATCGTATACATAGTGATGTTAACAATATCGTGTCAACATCGTGTTTATGTTGTATATAAAGTCTATACCTTTGTGTTTACATCGTTCATATCGTATACATTATGATGTTGACAATGTTAAATTGTGTCAACGTCGTATTAATGTTGTGTATACAATATTATATTGTAATCAGGTCTCAGACAGGGTATTAGAGTCAATTTTGCCGAAATCATTAGTAGATTTTTATCAGAGTGATTGCCCTTAAATGACGATTTTTTTTAAAAACTTTTTTTGTTTTTTGGGCAAGAACTAAAGAAGACTGAGAGAAACTGTAAACAGAAAAAATGATAAGCAATACAACGTCAAGATCAACAAAAAAAAATCGATTTTCAGTTGTCATGAATTCTATTCTAGTCCACAATGTTGGAGAGTGTCCATTTTTGAAGATGCACATTGTCCTAGGTGAGCGACAACGGCTATTTAGAGCCTCTAGTTTATTATAGGCTTAAGACAAGGTAAAAGTGCCTTTTACTTGACTGAAATTTATGAAAAGTCTTGTTTCTTGACTTTTGAGCAATAAATCACATCTTTGGTGGATAACGTCAGGGTTCTACATTTACTTTTTGAAGAATTTGCTCCATGATATTTTACTTGTTCAAAAGAGGAAACCACCTGTCCAAATTTTGTACTTGCTTTAAAAATAAAATGCTCCGCTGGGCGCAGCTTGATACGACCGCAGAGGTCGAATCCTGAACAGTTGGGGCAAGTATGGACACAACATTCAAGCTTGATACAGCACTGAATTTGGATTGTAATTAAATATTTGACACAGCATAGTTTTCTGACACAGAATGAATGTGGTCTAAGAACTTAGAAATTTTTAATTTACCTATTCAAACCATAGCATTATTATTTGCTTTAATATATAAATTAGAAATTACCAATTTAAAATGAATTTTAAAGAAAAAAAAGGAACCCCCCCCCCCAATTTTTTGAACCCCCTTATGATTCATAACCCCCAAACTCAATCCCAGCCTTCCCTTTGTGTTATGGTACCTTGCAGCACAATTTCAGAGATCCATACACTTGAACACAAGTTATTGTCTGGGAAACTAGAAAAATGTTTGTTTTTTGGCCCCAAATTCCTAAACCTGTAGGGCAATTACCCCCAAACCCAAACCCAGCTTTCCCTTTGTGATATGGAACCTTGTAGTACAATTTCATAAAGATCCATACACTTACACACAAGTTATTGTCCTGAAACTATAGAAAAATGCTTGTTTTTTCCCCCCTTGTTTGCCCCTAATTCCTAAAATTTTGAGGCAATTACCCCCAAAATCAATCCCAGCCTTCCCTTTGTGGTATGATACCTTGCAGTACAATTTCAGAGAGATCCATACACTTGAACACAAGTTATTGTCTGGAAACTAGAAAATTGCTTATTTTTGGCCCCTTATTCCTAAACGTTTTGGGCAATTACCCCCAAACTCAATTCTAGCTTTCCCTTTGTGATATGGAACCTTGTAGTACAATTTCATAAAGATCCATACACTTACACACAAGTTATTGTCATGAAACTAGAAAAATGCTTGTTTTTTGCCCCTAATTCCTAAAATTTGGAGGCAATTACCCCCAAAATCAATCCCAGCATTCCCTTTGTGATATGGAACCTTGTGGTACAATGTCAGAGAGATCCATACACTAACACACAAGTTATGTCTGGAAGTTACAATAAAATGCTCTGCTGGGTGCAGCTTGATACGACCGCAGAGGTCAAACCCTGTACAGTTGGGGCAAGTATGGACACAACATTCAAGCTTGATACAGCACTGAATTTTGATTGTGATTAAATATTTGACACAGCATAGGTTTCTGACACAGAATGAGGTCTGGTCTAAGAACTTAAAATTTTTTAATTTACCTATTCAAACCATATCATTATTACTGTAAATTCAGAAATTATTGCGAGGTTTTTATTAATGCGAATAATGCGACTTGGTGATCATCGCAATAATAAGAACTCGCATTCTGATATCTGATACAAAAATCTGTATGCAGATTTTCCTGAAATCGCAATAATAAATCTCGAATTTTAGTCCATTCTTTAAAAATCGCAATAATAAATGCACGCAATAATTTCTGAATTTACAGTATTTGCTTTTATATATAAATCAGAAATAACCAATTTAAAATGGAAATATTAAAGAAAAAAAAGGAAAAAAAATCCCCCCTCAAATTTTTTGAACCCCCTTATGATTCATCACCCCCAAACTCAATCCCAGCCTTCCCTTTGTGGTATGGTACCTTGCAGTACAATTTCAGAGAGATCCGTACACTTGAACACAAGTTATTGTCTGGAAACTAGAAAAATGTTTGTTTTTTGGCCCCAAATTCCTAAACGTTTAGGGCAATTACCCCCAAACTCAAACCCAGCTTTCCCTTTGTGATATGGAACCTTGTAGTACAATTTCAGAAAGATCCATTCACTTACACACAAGTTATTGTCCTGAAACTAGAAAAATGCTTGTTTTTTTGCCCCTTTTTTGCCCCTAATTCCTAAAATTTTGAGGCAATTACCCCCAAAATCAATCCCAGCCTTTCCTTTGTGGTATGGTACCTTGCAGTACAATTTCAGAGAGATCCGTACACTTGAACACAAGTTATTGTCTGGAAACTAGAATAATGCTTGTTTTTTGGCCCCAAATTCCTAAACATTTAGGGCAATTACCCCCAAACTCAAACCCAGCTTTCCCTTTGTGATATGGAACCTTGTAGTACAATTTCATAAAGATCAATACACTTACACACAAGTTATTGTCCTGAAACTAGAAAAATGCTTGTTTTTTTTGCCCCTTTTTGGCCCCTAATTCCTAAAATTTTGAGGCAATTACCCCCAAAATCAATCCCAGTCTTCCCTTTGTGGTATGGTACCTTGTAGTACAATTTCATAAAGATCAATACACTTACACACAAGTTATTGTCCTGAAACTAGAAAAATGCTTGTTTTTTTTGCCCCTTTTTGGCCCCTAATTCCTAAAATTTTGAGGCAATTACCCCCAAAATCAATCCCAGCCTTCCCTTTGTGGTATGGTACCTTGCAGTACAATTTCAGAGAGATCTATACACTTGAACACAAGTTATTGTCTGGAAACTAGAAAAATGCTTATTTTTGGCCCCTTATTCCTAAACGTTTTGGGCAATTACCCCCAAACTCAATTCCAGCTTTCCCTTTGTGGTATGGTACCTTGCAGTACAATTTCAGAAAGATCCATACACTTACACACAAGTTATTGTCCTGAAACTAGAAAAATGCTTGTTTTTTTGCCCCTTTTTTGCCCCTAATTCCTAAAATTTTGAGGCAATTACCCCCAAAATCAATCACAGCCTTCCCTTTGTGGTATGGTACCTTGCAGTACAATTTCAGAGAGATCCGTACACTTGAACACAAGTTATTGTCTGGAAACTAGAATAATGCTTGTTTTTTGGCCCCAAATTCCTAAACATTAAGGGCAATTACCCCCAAACTCAAACCCAGCTTTCCCTTTGTGATATGGAACCTTGTAGTACAATTTCATAAAGATCAATACACTTACACACAAGTTATTGTCCTGAAACTAGAAAAATGCTTGTTTTTTTGCCCCTTTTTTGCCCCTAATTCCTAAAATTTTGAGGAAATTACCCCCAAAATCAATCCCAGCCTTCCCTTTGTGGTATGGTACCTTGCAGTACAATTTCATAAAGATCAATACACTTACACATTGGTTATTGTTCTGAAACTAGAAAAATGCTCGTTTTTTTGCCCCTTTTTGGCCCCTAATTCCTAAAATTTTGAGGCAATTACCCCCAAAATCAATCCCAGCCTTCTCTTTATGGTATGGTACCTTGCAGTACAATTTCAGAGAGATCTATACACTTGAACACAAGTTATTGTCTGTAAACTAGAAAAATGCTTATTTTTGGCCCCTTATTCCTAAACGTTTTGGGCAATTACCCCCAAACTCAATTCCAGCTTTCCCTTTGTGGTATGGTACCTTGCAGTACAATTTCAGAGAGATCCGTACACTTGAACACAAGTTATTGTCTGGAAACTAGAAAAATGTTTGTTTTTTGGCCCCAAATTCCTAAACGTTTAGGGCAATTACCCCCAAACTCAAACCCAGCTTTCCCTTTGTGATATGGAACCTTGTAGTACAATTTCAGAAAGATCCATTCACTTACACACAAGTTATTGTCCTGAAACTAGAAAAATGCTTGTTTTTTTGCCCCTTTTTTGCCCCTAATTCCTAAAATTTTGAGGCAATTACCCCCAAAATCAATCCCAGCCTTTCCTTTGTGGTATGGTACCTTGCAGAACAATTTCAGAGAGATCTGTACACTTGAACACAAGTTATTGTCTGGAAACTAGAATAATGCTTGTTTTTTGGCCCCAAATTCCTAAACATTTAGGGCAATTACCCCCAAACTCAAACCCAGCTTTCCCTTTGTGATATGGAACCTTGTAGTACAATTTCATAAAGATCAATACACTTACACACAAGTTATTGTCCTGAAACTAGAAAAATGCTTGTTTTTTTTGCCCCTTTTTGGCCCCTAATTCCTAAAATTTTGAGGCAATTACCCCCAAAATCAATCCCAGCCTTCCCTTTGTGGTATGGTACCTTGCAGTACAATTTCAGAGAGATCTATACACTTGAACACAAGTTATTGTCTGGAAACTAGAAAAATGCTTATTTTTGGCCCCTTATTCCTAAACGTTTTGGGCAATTACCCCCAAACTCAATTCCAGCTTTCCCTTTGTGGTATGGTACCTTGCAGTACAATTTCAGAAAGATCCATACACTTACACACAAGTTATTGTCCTGAAACTAGAAAAATGCTTGTTTTTTTGCCCCTTTTTTGCCCCTAATTCCTAAAATTTTGAGGCAATTACCCCCAAAATCAATCACAGCCTTCCCTTTGTGGTATGGTACCTTGCAGTACAATTTCAGAGAGATCCGTACACTTGAACACAAGTTATTGTCTGGAAACTAGAATAATGCTTGTTTTTTGGCCCCAAATTCCTAAACATTAAGGGCAATTACCCCCAAACTCAAACCCAGCTTTCCCTTTGTGATATGGAACCTTGTAGTACAATTTCATAAAGATCAATACACTTACACACAAGTTATTGTCCTGAAACTAGAAAAATGCTTGTTTTTTTTCCCCTTTTTTGCCCCTAATTCCTAAAATTTTGAGGCAATTACCCCCAAAATCAATCCCAGCCTTCCCTTTGTGGTATGGTACCTTGCAGTACAATTTCATAAAGATCAATACACTTACACATTGGTTATTGTCCTGAAACTAGAAAAATGCTCGTTTTTTTGCCCCTTTTTGGCCCCTAATTCCTAAAATTTTGAGGCAATTACCCCCAAAATCAATCCCAGCCTTCCCTTTATGGTATGGTACCTTGCAGTACAATTTCAGAGAGATCTATACACTTGAACACAAGTTATTGTCTGTAAACTAGAAAAATGCTTATTTTTGGCCCCTTATTCCTAAACGTTTTGGGCAATTACCCCCAAACTCAATTCCAGCTTTCCCTTTGTGGTATGGTACCTTGCAGTACAATTTCAGAAAGATCCATACACTTACACACAAGTTATTGTCCTGAAACTAGAAAAATGCTTGTTTTTTTGCCCCTTTTTTGCCCCTAATTCCTAAAATTTTGAGGTAATTACCCCCAAAACCAATCACAGCCTTCCCTTTGTGGTATGGTACCTTGCAGTACAATTTCAGAGAGATCCATACACTTGAACACAAGTTATTGTCTGGAAACTAGAATAATGCTTGTTTTTTGGCCCCAAATTCCGAAACATTAAGGGCAATTACCCCCAAACTCAAACCCAGCTTTCCCTTTGTGATATGGAACCTTGTAGTACAATTTCATAAAGATCAATACACTTACACACAAGTTATTGTCCTGAAACTAGAAAAATGCTTGTTTTTTTGCCCCTTTTTGGCCCCTAATTCCTAAAATTTTGAGGCAATTACCCCCAAAATCAATCCCAGCCTTCCCTTTGTGGTATGGTACCTTGCAGTACAATTTCAGAGAGATCTATACACTTGAACACAAGTTATTGTCTGGAAACTAGAAAAATGATTATTTTTGGCCCCTTATTCCTAAACGTTTTGGGCAATTACCCCCAAACTCAATTCCAGCTTTCCCTTTGTGGTATGGTACCTTGCAGTACAATTTCAGAAAGATCCATACACTTACACACAAGTTATTGTCCTGAAACTAGAAAAATGCTTGTTTTTTTGCCCCTTTTTTGCCCCTAATTCCTAAAATTTTGAGGTAATTACCCCCAAAACCAATCACAGCCTTCCCTTTGTGGTATGGTACCTTGCAGTACAATTTCAGAGAGATCTATACACTTGAACACAAGTTATTGTCTGGAAACTAGAAAAATGATTATTTTTGGCCCCTTATTCCTAAATGTTTTGGGCAATTACCGCCAAACTCAATTCCAGCTTTCCCTTTGTGATATGGAACCTTGTAGTACAATTTCAGAAAGATCCATACACTTACACACAAGTTATTGTCATGAAACTAGAAAAATGCTTGTTTTTTGCCCCTTTTATGGCCCTTAATTGCTAAAATTTGGAGGCAATTACCCCCAAAATCAATCCCAGCATTCCCTTTGTGATATGGAACCTTGTTGTACAATGTCAGAGGGATCCATACACTAACACACAAGTTATGTCTGGAAGTTACAAAAATGCTTATTTTTGGCCCCTTTTTCCTTAACTGTTGGTACCATAACCCCCAAAATCAATCCCAACCTTCCTTTTGTGGTATTGAACCTTATGGTAAAATTTCATAGAGATCCATTCACTTAAACTAAAGTTAGAGTGCGAAAACCAATGTGTCTCAGACAACGACGATGCCAACATCATACCAATATACGACTGCAAATTTTTTTTTGCAGTCGTTTAAAAACAGGACCCAAAATTAAAAATCTTAATACACGGTTAGATTTGGCATATCAAAGAACCCCAATAATTCAATTTTTGATGAAATCAAACAAAGTTTAATTTTGGACCCTTTTGACCTCAATATGAACCAATTTGATAGTGGGGCCCACAAATAAAAAATCTAAATACATGGTTAGATTCAGCATATCAAAGAACCCCATATATTCAATTTTTGTTGAAATCAAACAAAGATTAATTTTGGACCCCAATTTGGACCAACTTGAAAACTGGGCCCATAATCAAAAATCTAAACACATGTTTAGATTCAGCATATCAAAGAACCCCAAGAATTCAATTTTTGTTAAAATCAAACTAAGTTTAATTTTGGACCCTTTGGACCTTAATGTAGACCAATTTAAAAAACGGGACCCTAAATTAAAAATCTAAATACATGGTTAGATTTGGCATATCAAAGAACCCCAATAATTCAATTTTTGATGAAATCAAACAAAAAAGTTTAATTTTGGACCCTTTTGACCTCAATATGAACCAATTTGATAGTGGGGCCCACAAATTAAAAATCTAAATACATGGTTATATTCAGCATATCAAAGAACCCCATATATTCAATTTTTGTTGAAATCAACCAAAGATTAATTTTGGACCCCAATTTGGACCAACTTGAAAACTGGGCCCAAAATCAAAAATCTAAATACATGTTTAGATTCAGCATATCAAAGAACCCCATATATTCAATTTTTGTTAAAATCAAACTAAGTTTTATTTTGGACCCTTTGGACCTTAATGTAGACCAATTTGAAAACTGGACCCAAAATTAAAAATCTAAATACACGGTCAGATTCGGCATAACAAAAAAATAAATGTGGTCAAATATTTTACAAATCTAATGCGCCATACTGTGCAATTAAAGATTACTTCTTGAAATTTTTCAATATTTGAATTTTGAAAAAAAAATAATATTTGAAGAATAATTCTTTTTATTTTCTGAAATCTGAAATGAGAAAAAATTGACCCCCCCCCACAATTTCTTTTTAATCCCCCCCCCCCCCTTTTTCCACCAAAAATTCTTTCCCTCAAGATATGGTCATAATCTCAATTCAAATTTCCAATTGAATTTGCAACCATAATTACCCATTTAAATTTACCATAGTGCTAACTTAATATATTTTATAATAGAATTTAAAATATGGTGTCAAATCTTTCATATGGATTTTTTTGTAAAAAAAAAATATGCAACATTTGCAGATATTTTTACTGGTCTTCCTTTATAAATATGCATTTCTTTAAACATAATTTAAAAGCAGTGTAAGGGAAGTAATCAAAACGTTGTATTTGGATTACCTCCCTTACACTGTTTTAAATTGTCTTAATTGTTCTTTAACCATTACTTTATACATAATTTAAAAGCAGTGTAAGGGAGGTAATTCAAATGATGTATTTGATTTATCTCCCTTACACTGCTTTAAATTATGTTTTGTACTAAAGTATTTGTCCATCAACCAGGACAACCTTGTTTTCCCCCCTTTTTTGCCCCTAATTCCTAAACGGTTTGAGCCATAACCCCCCGAAGCAAATCCTAACCTTCCTTTTGTGGTATTTAACCTTATGGTAAAATTTCATAGAGATCCATTCACTTAAACTAAAGCTATAGTGCGAAAACCAATGTGTCTCTGATGACAACGACACTGGACGACAACAACGACACCAATGTCATACCAATATACGGCCGCAAAATTTTTTTTTTTGAAATACCATGAAAAAGTTTCCCAGTGAAAGCTGCCATGCACATCTTGGGTCTTGAATCAAAACTGATTTAGTTTTGAAGTGCATAATATTGCGCAAGTGTACTGAATATAGATATATTTTTTACCCTCAAATAAATTAGTGACTGAACATGAGAGAGCGCATTTAAGTTTGTTTATATATCATTTGATTTCCTTAATTTCACATTTGTTTGACATTTAAAAATCAATGTACTTAATGTGATTTTTGGTATTATTGTCTCACTTGCCACCATCTTCTGGTGGCTGCTTAAACTACGTGTATAAAGCTTTCTATATCAGAAGGTAAAAGACTTGGATAATTCAAACCTTGTATGCAGATGCCTTATGTTACAAATTTTCTGTCTGGCATTTGTAAATTGTTCTTTGATCTCAATTTTACATTTATGTCTAGACCTCATTTTCACTGTTTAGTTTTTGTGGTTTGGTCAGTTTCTCTGACACTATAAGCAAAAGGTCAACTGTATTTGGTGTATGGGATGATTGTATAGCCTAAGGGTACATGTATGTCTGACCCTTTTTATCTAATCTAGACTTAATTTTCTTGGTTCATTGACCAATGTTTAGTTTTTGTGAATATATCTGTTTCTTAGATACCATAATCAATTGGTCAAAATAAAATAAGGAGATGTGGTATGATTGCCAATGAGACAACTATCCACCAGATACCAAATGACATAGAAGTCAGCAACTATAGATCACCGTACAACTGTGCAGCAAGCCATTAAAGGCCCCAACATGACCCCAAAAAACAATTCAAAACAAGAAAACTAAGGGCTTGTATTATGTACAAAACTATAAACAAAACAAAATATAATACATAGCAAATAAACTGCTTCGCTGAGCGCAGCTAGATACGCCCGCAGAGGTCCGACCCTGAACAGTTGGGGCAGAAATGGACACAATATTCAAGCTTGATTCAGGTCTGAATTTGGATTGTAATTAAATATTTGACATATTATAGGTTTCTGAATAAATGTATTAAAAGAACTTAAATTGGTTATATGAATTGAATTTATATTCAATTAAAAATTTCTTGCTGTTGTGCAACACTTAGTAAATCTGTTGTCAAGACTATAAACAAATAAAGTTCAATTAATTCTCAATGCCATATTAGAAATTTATGAAAATAAAAAGGGAGCTTACATCAATAGATATAAACAATTCACCAAAGTTTCATAAGAATTGGTGACAGCATTTTTGAGTTATTGTCTGAAAACTGGAAAATCACCCTTTTTTTAATGAATAAAACCCCATAACTCAGAAATGTTAAATGTAAAATTTATAAAATTCTAAAGAGAGTTTACATCAATACATACAAACAATTCACCAAAGTTTCATAAGAATTGCTGAAAGCATTTTTGAGTTTTTGTCCGAAAACTGAAAAATCCCCCCTTTTTTTATGGATAAAACCCTGTAACTCGGAAACGTAAAATCTAAAATTTATAAAAATCAAAAGAGAGCTCATGTTAATAGATATAAACAATTCACCACAATTTCTTGCAACTTTTTTTAATGAATAAAACCCCATAACTCGGAAACGTAAAATCTAAATTTTATAAAAAACGAAAGGGAGCTCACGTCAATAGATATAAACAATTCACCAAAGTTTTATGCAAATTGGTTAAAGCATTCTTGAGTTAATGTCCGACATGTTGACGACGGACAGACGGACGGACGGACAGACGGACAACGGTATACAATAATACGTCCCGTAAACGGGCGTATAAAAACGACAAACCATCAATTACAGGCTCCTGACTTAGGACAGGCACATACAGAACATGAGGGTTTTTTACATGTTTGCTAGCGCTAAACCCTCCCCCTTACCTGGGACAGTGGTGTAACAAACTATAAAGATCAGTTGAAAAAGGCTTGACTCATCAGATGCACACAAAAACAACTAACAAAAAGACTTGTAAAAGACACAAAGTACCAATCTGAGAGTACTCACAGTAACTGAAAGCTAGTTCAAAGCCAATAACAGCTTACAAAAAATATCATGTATTCAAGACCAAAATATCAATCAGATCATATCCCATTGAATTTAGTGTCAAGAAGTTATCAACAGCAAGAGAAAAACATGATACTGTGCAATGCCAAAATATAAATATCAACAGAATTTAGGACTGTAAATGATCATATGTGTATAGCAATAATATTTAGTTATGTTTTACAGTGACTTGATTGTAAGTGTTTCACTCCACCAATTGCAGTTCAATCAAAATTCTGACACAATTATGAAATCAAACTGTTAAATGGATCATAAATTTTAACCAACTGTAAAATCAATTCCTCAAAGTGCAAGATGGAGAAGTTCAGTAAATTCTACTCTCAAGCAACATGTGAACAATTTCTGTATTTATCTACCAGGGAGTCCAGATCTCTAAGTATTTTAATAAAACAACATACAAAAATATACATCACATTTAATTTTTTATTTAATATAAAATAATATAGCAATACATTATTCATATACGAATATCCATTTCAGAAATCTACATCTTATTTCTCCATATCATTCACTCATCTACACTATTATCACAGTTCTGTCAATAATGGGCCAAATCTTTGTCAACCAAAAGTTCCAATCGAACTTGTAAAAGCACTTAACAACATAACACGTTTACATCTACAGAAAATCAAGTGATAAAACAAATATTTCATTTCTACACATACAATTATAAAAAAGAGCAAAATGATACAAAAATAAAGATATGACCTCCAACTTTAAAAACTGTAACTGTTTAGTGGAGAAGATAAGTGTAAGCAAGCATGCAGCTAAATTATTATGTTTATAAATATATCCTGGGGGGAAAGCAATAATCCAAAAATAGAACTTGAAAGTGCTTGTCAAATGATTTATGTAAGAGTAATCTCTTAAGTATACCAAAAAAGAGTTGACAACCAAGATAATTCCAGTTCAATAAATGACTTCACCTCTTAAGTTGAGTAGATACAGTTTCCCATACATTTGTGTTTTCTTTTTAAAACCTTGTGATGTTGTGTATCAAGATCATATATGAGGTCTGCAAATTGCCAAAAACTATCATAAGGACCTAAGAGCTATCTATGGTTCTGCAGCTAGATTATATCTTTGAAAAACAATAAAATAAAACAAAATATGTCTAGAGTTTTTGAGTTAAAGAAGGTTCCAAATTTGGATTTAGATAAAATTTTCTGTTAATTTGAAGATTTTGAAAGACTGCTGCTATTTTAAGCAGTAAAATAGCCAAATAAATTTTTTAAAATCTCTAATAATTTTGCATTAGCGAAAAGTAAAATGAAATGTCAGCAGTATTATTCCATTTGCAAACTTGAATGATGAACTTTTGAATTACATGCCAAAACAAGTAAATTTTACATGGGCAGATAATAATGCATCTAAATCTTAAGTTTTGCTTTTGCAACATTACCAATGATTGATTGTTGGTTTTAATTAGCCTAGATGTTTCAAAGGAGCTTCAAGTATATTTCAACTATTATCCACTAAGGTCCTATTTAAAACTTAGTCTTAACTCTTAATGGTCTTAAATCTGTTGTTGTGGTTGTAAATATCTGTTTTAATTTACAGTAAAACTAAGAAGTATTAACATATCTTGCATATTTTTCTTCCTGTAAGAAAACTGCATTCTGTTTATCTTCCATATACAAAGATATCATAAATACCAATAAAATAATTTACATTAGTAAACTTTCAATTACCTTTGTAAAAAGGATTGATGGATCTACAGAGGGATTCTAGGAGTGGGAACCCCAATTTTCTTTGTAAAATCATGTTAAAGTTGATGAAAATTAGGCTTGAACTTCCTTGAAGTTTTGGATCTGTGCTAGAAAAGTAAACTTGTTTCTTTAATGAAAATTAAAATAACTCCTCAAATATTAAAACTTGTGTACTAACAACACAATAATTTTGGCAAGAATTATATTAAAAACTACAGGCTCTAGAGAATTATATTAAAAACTACAGGCTATAGTAATCCAGGTGAGCTTTTCAGACTCTATGGAGCCTGAATCCCTCACCTGGATTACTATAGTTGAAAAGAAAATAATAGTAAAAAGGGATCTTTGAAGTAGGATACTAATGGGACAAAAAATGATTAGGGTCACAATATATATAAATATAAAAGGAGTAACTTTGTTAAAAGATTCTTTAATAATGAATCATGTAAAATTAATACCCATTTGGGCTTGTAGCTATAATGACGAATTTTATTTTAAATTATTCAATCCCAATATAATGCCTTTGGCAGCCTTATTTTAATATTCTTTTTGGAACCAGAAGATCTTTTGTAGACAACCTTCAGTACACCATTCCTGAAAACTTTAGCTAAATTTAACATCATGAACTAAGTAATTAGTGAGAAATTGAAATATTACTTTCTATAAATTATTAATGGAAAATATGTCATGTGCCAACAATATTGCCATGTTAGTTTTCCACCTGATCATCATTAAATGAGGAAAGTTTAAAGGGGATCTCCCAATCATAAATCCTGTAAAACATTTCGAATAAAATGCTCCGCTGGGCACAGCTTGATACGACCGCAGAGGTCGAATCCTGAACAGTTGGGGCAAGTATGGACACAACATTCAAGCTTGATACAGCACTGAATTTGGATTGTGATTAAATATTTGACACAGCATAGGTTTCTGACACAGAATGAATGTGGTCTAAAAACTTAAAAAATTTTAATTTACCTAATCAAACCATATCATTATTATTTGCTTTTATATATAAATCAGAAATAACCAATTTAAACAGGAAAATTTTAAAGAAAAAAAAAGGAAAAAAAAATACTTCCCCCCCCCCCCCCCCCCAATTTTTTGAACCCCCTTATGATTCATCACCCCTAAACTCAATCCCAGCCTTCCCTTTGTGGTATGGTACCTTGCAGTACAATTTCAGAGAGATCCATACACTTGAACACAAGTTATTGTCTGGAAACTAGAAAAGTGCTTGTTTTTTGGTCCCTTATTCCTAATCATTTAGGGCAATTACCCCCAAACTCAAACCAAGCTTTCCCTTTGTGACATGGAACCTTGTAGTACAATTTCATAAAGATCCATACCCTTACACACAAGTTATTGTCCTGAAACTAGAAAAATGCTTGTTTTTTGCACTTTTTTGGCCCCTAATTCCTAAAATTTTGAGGCAATTACCCCCAATATCAATCCCAGCCTTCCCTTTGTGGTATGGTACCTTGCAGTACAATTTCAGAGAGATCCATACACTTGAACACAAGTTATTGTCTGGAAACTAGAAAAATGCTTATTTTTGGCCCCTTATTCCTAAATGTTTTGGGCAATTACCCCCAAACTCAATTCCAGCTTTTCCTTTGTGATATTGAACCTTGTAGTACAATTTCAGAAAGATCCATACACTAACACACAAGTTATTGTCATGAAACTAGAAAAATTCTTGTTTTTTGGCCCCTAATTCCTACAATTTGGAGGCGATTACCCCCAAAATCAATCCCAGCGTTCCCTTTGTGATATGGAACCTTGTGGAACAATGTCAGAGAGATCAATACACTAACACACAAGTTATGTCTGGAAGTTCCAAAAATGCTTATTTTTGGCCCTTAACTCCTTAACTGTTGGTACCATAATCCCAATAATCAATCCCAACCTTCCTTTTGTGGTATTGAACCTTATGGTAAAATTTCATAGAGATCCATTCACTTAAACTAAAGTTAGAGTGCGAAAAACCAATGTGTCTTTGGACGACGACATTCCAATATATGACCGCTTTGCGGTCGTATAAAAATCAATCCTGTAAAGTGCCAAGACATGTTGCCTGGTGATTTCAGAAGAAGATTTTTGAAAATTGGCCAATCTCAATCAACGATTGCCTCAGGTGGTCATGTTTTTGAACCAATAAATACCAAAAGAGGATTGTTTGAAGAGAATCTTCCATTGAGGATTCATGCCAAATAATCTAAAACTTGCCAAGAGGTTTCAGAAAAGATGAAAATGTGAAAAGATAAGGAAGCAAGGATGACGACAATGACTAGTGATGGAAATTGCTTACCATTCTTATATGAGCTGTTTATTAAAGATTTCTATTTTTGTCTGTTTTTAAGTTGAGGTAATGAAAAATTAAATAGTAGTTTCCAGTCCATTGCATCATAAAAACCAGTTGTACGTCACAGTCAAGGGTTTCTAGATGTTTTCATGAAAAATACAATACATAGATTTTGGTCAAATTACAGATAGTTTTTGGACCTGCATATAGACCACATCCAAGAATTAACTAAATAATTGCCCTCATTTTTGTCTATATAAACAACACCTTTCATGTAAATATGCTTGTGGGTCTCTCATGTTCTAAATATTCCCCAGTAACTGTGGAAATGGACAAATTTTGGTTATTTCGGTCTTTTGACAGTAAAATCTCCATTATCTTTCAAAGATCTTGCATTTTTAATTTGGCACATACCTTACAGTTACTTTTAGCTAAAAAAGAACTTTAACCCTCCTCCTGTGGTGGACTTCTGTCAAGCTGTTTTCAGGGAATTGCAGATTAATATAAAGTGTTACACAGGTGAGGACACCAGACAACAAAAAGCGATCCCTATATGTTGCTACAGCTTAGTCATTGGGCAAAACAAAAAAGAATGTGAACATTTAGTTGACAAAGACATCCAGTGTTAACATTTATTACAGATTGTTTAAAATCTCTTTAGCTGAACAGATAATTCATGAATAATTGACAAATAGCTGCCTGAGCTAAGACTATTACCAAGCCTAAAATTAAGTACTTAAATATCACTGGAAAAAAGTGTATGTACAAAAATTAGGTCATAAGCACAAAATCATTTCCTCCAAGTACTTGTAAATCAATAAATGAGCCCTGAACAATCTAAAGTCAATATTAAAGTTTCCAGTGATTATTTCCAATCTAGTACATCTTACATGTTCTTAAAATGTATAACAATGTTGCAATACTACACAAAACTGATGACAATAAAAGTTCAGCATATGTCAAAGTTACTGCTGATATACTGAGTCTAAGCAACAACTGTATCATGTGACTTGGATCACAAAAGTTTGGCACCAAACACGATTAGTCCATATTAACCCTTCAAGCTTTAAAGCCTACTGAAGAGTGCTGACAAACTCTGAAAATTGAACTGATTGAACACTTCAGCCTTCTTTCTCACAGTAAAGTTCTTTCAGTGCCTTCAATTCTTCAATTAATGTTTTATTTTGATTTTCTAACACTGCCACTCTGTTTTCTAAACACTTGACATATTCCTTCTTTTTAAGTCGACATTCTCTTGCTGCTTCTCTGAAATTGAAGGATTGTACTTATGTTATTCTCTAAAACAGACAACACATTGCGCATTGTGAATAGCAACATAATTCTGTAATCTCTTGACTACAGTAGACAGCATATAGTATTGTATTATAAAATGAAATCGAGCTATGTAAATGTCTTGACCAGATAACAAATTGTATTGTAATATAAAATGAAATTGAACTATGCAAATGTCTTGACCAGAAAACATATTGTATTGTAAAATGACATCTAAACTTAGTAAATGTCTTGACTAGATAACATATTGTATTGTATTGTAAAATGACATCTAAACTTAGTAAATGTCTTGACTAGATAACATATTGTATTGTATTGTAAAATGGCATCTAAACTTAGTAAATGTCTCAACCAGATAACATTTTGTGTAAGTATTGTAAAACAATATGACAAATGTTGTGACCAGAAAACATATTGTATACATGCACTTAAGAAATAATTCAAGCCACAATGAATTATTTCTATTCTAGTTGGACAAAGACCACAATTCTTTTGGATAAAAGTGCCCTAGTTGAAGGGAAATATTTGCTGTTCCAATCATTAATCACACTATCGATATTGATGTGAAAGAAGAATCCTGATGATTTACAATAACATACAAAGACAGGTTGGGATGAGGTCAAATGATTACCTTACTTTTATTCAAGGACTTACAACAAATTCTTTTCATTGTTTGTATGAGTTTTCATGTTTTGATGACCTTCAGCTTTACATTCATGCATTTTCCCGTAAATGCTTAAGTTGAAATATATGAAATTTCATAAATGATCTTACATATGTTATCTAGAGGTTATTTAAGAAATAATTCATGCAAGTCATACATTTGTTGGAAATTTTTAGCTTCATCTTACAGTAGAACAAGAATGTGTCCATAGTACACAAATGCCCCACTCGCACTATCATTTTCTATGTTCAGTGGACCGTGAAATTTGGGTCAAAACTCTAATTTGACATTAAAATTAGAAAGATCATATCATAGAGTACATGTGTATTAAGTTTCCAGTTGATTGGACTTCATCAAAAACTACCTTGACCAAAAACTTTAACCTGACCTAGACAGACGGACGAACCAACAGATGCACAGACCGAATAAAATGCTCCGCCAGGCGCAGCTTGATACGACCGCAGAGGTCGAAACCCTGAACAGTTGGGGCAAGTATGGACACAACATTCAAGCTTGATACAGCACTGAACTTGGATTGTGATTAAATATTTGACACAGCATAGGTTTCTGACACAGAATGAATGTGGTCTAAGAACTTAAAAACTTTTAATTTACCTATTCAAACCATATCATTATTATTTGCTTTTATATATAAATCAGAAATAACCAATTTAAAATGGAAAATTTTAAAGAAAAAAAAAGGAAAAAAAATCCCCCCAAATTTTTTTAATCCCCTTATGATTCATCACCCCCAAACTCAATCCCAGCCTTCCCTTTGTGGTATGGTACCTTGTAGTACAATTTCAGAGAGATCCATACACTTGAACACAAGTTATTGTCTGGAAACTAGAAAAATGCTTGTTTTTTGGCCCCAAATTCCTAAACATTTAGGGCAATTACCCCCAAACTCAAACCAAGCTTTCCCTTTGTGACATGGAACCTTGTAGTACAATTTCAGAAAGATCCATACACTTACACACAAGTTATTGTCCTGAAACTAGAAAAATGCTTGTTTTTTGCCCCTTTTTGGCCCCTATTTCCTAAAATTTCGAGGCAATTACCCCAAAACTCAATCCCAGCCTTCCCTTTGTAGTATTGTACCTTGCAGTACAATTTCAGAGAGATTCATACACTTGAACACAAGTTATTGTCTGGAAACTAGAAAAATGCTTATTTTTGGCCCCTTATTCCTAAATGTTTTGGGCAATTACCCCCAAACTCAATTCCAGCTTTCCCTTTGTGATATGGAATCTTGTAGTACAATTTCAGAAGGATTCATACACTTACACACAAGTTATTGTCATGAAACTAGAAAAATGCTTATTTATGGCCCCCTTTTGGCCCATAATTCCTTAACTGTTGGTACCATAACCCCCAAAATCAATCCCAACCTTCCTTTTGTGGTATTGAACCTTATGGTAAAATTTCATAGAGATCCATTTACTTAAACTACAGTTAGAGTGCGAAAACCAATGTGTCTATGGACAACGACGCCAACGTCATACCAATATATGCGAACGTATAAAAACAAAATGCCCCTAGGAAGGACATTAAAATAGAACAGCCACACACTCAAGTAACACAACACACTTATCTTCGCCTCAATTTTTTAAATTACGGGATTTGTACTATTAGAATCAAAATGTAACAGGCCAGGTCATGTGAATATTTTTCACATGTGCAGTCAATATATGTCCAATTTGGGAAATTATTCCCCATACAGGTGGTTATATATCTCATTTTAGTGATTGGTTCCAATCTGTTAAGTGCATGAAGATTTTCACTTATAAAAAAGTTATTCAAATGAGAGAAATTCAACCATCCATTGTGAAAGCTTGACAGAACACTGCTATATTCCAAATATCGAATCAAAAGTTTGAAGCATTACAGAAAATAGTGCTGAAAATTTACTAGATAGAGTGCAAACCTTATCCCTTATGGCTTCCGTGGGTGTGAACTAAAAATTATTACAGTTATGGGTTGTTTGCATAAAAGAGAGCTGTCCTCTTCTACTTAAGTAGATAGCAGTAGATAATCACCACATCTCCTTCATGTCCTTATTTTCATATTGATTGCATGGTTTGTTGCTCTTGCTACATGTAAATGCAATATGTGTCCCAGTGATTGTGGTGTATGCCCTTATGTTTTCATGTATGGGAATGTTAGCTCATGATAGAACTTCCTCCAATACTTGAATGGAAAGTTGTATCATTGGCAATTATACCACATCTACCTCATTCTTACATTGTTCATATTTTTCAAAAATCCAACTGAAAATAGCTATAGATAGGTCAAATATATCAATTATAGCCTACTTAATAAAGTTTTCTTTAGATCATGTATGTATCACTTTCCTTCAAACAAAGGTTACTTATAGACAACAATATGTCTTTGGGAAGAAATACTAATAAAATCAAATTTGAAAGAAAATGTCTAAGGTCTACTGGAAATTTCATATAAGAAAGTTTGGAACGACATACAATACCTGTTTTTTAATAATCTTAATTCTCTTTTCCTAGAGGCCTCCTCAGATAATGATGATGATCCTGTAAGAGGACTTCCTGTTGTTGCCATAACAACACCTTGAGGTAGACCACCAGAGGCTATCTGGTATGCTTGTACAGTTCCTATACATTGTACAAAACCCATCATTAATTTTTAAAATCGTGACTGTTAAACATGCAAGAAAGATTCAATTTTGTTATTCTTTCCCCTCATCGTTATTTATCTTTATTTATGAATCAAGATCCAGTTTTAAAATCAACTGACTAATTTAATCGTCTTCAGAATGATGTTAACTTGTACCTTGTAACATTTATCACAATGAGAAAATTAAATGTTATTAAACAGTATATAAGAATAGACTTGGATGGAGAGTTGTCTCATTGGCACTCATACCACATCTTCTTATATCTATTTAAAAAAAATTCTGGCTGAAGGTGTATATTTTTAAAATGAATGTATTCAATGTTAGGATATTTCAAGTTTTTTTTAGCCTTTTCAATATTTGTCTGATTTGTTTTTAAGTGATATATAAAATTAGTACTTTTATATATATTACCTGGAATATAAAACTGTCCATCAGGCCCTTGTGCATACTGTACAATCGTAGCTCCCTGTGTTGTTGATGATGTTGTAGGACTAGCATTAGACATAGTAAATGTCTGTAACCCTGGTGATACTGATGTCTGACCGTCAGGATTTGAGGTTATTTGAATACCTCCTGCAGTAACTTAAATAAATAATAATACTCTCTAGATTATAACAGATACCACATACCAATCATCATAACTTGTAAGCTAAATTTATCAGTAGAATATCACTGAAATTTAAACATCTAAATAAAGCAGATGCCGGGTATTTCAAGAAAATTATGCATTTTTTTTCTATAATTAAAACTGCCAACCAGGGGAACGGTGGT